AAGAATGGCCTACAGAAAATATAGGGTGCTGAAATTTGTCACCATTTCATAGGCGCGCACACATTTAAAGTTTGGCATGTTGGGTATCTATTTACTCGATGCAAAGTTGTCTTTTATATTTTACCAAAAATTTAGGGAATGTATCACAATTGTTTGCCCTAAAATTCACTTTAGTGTGTTTTTACTGAAATTCTGTGGTAATATCGTGTGACACAAAAAATTGGAACTACCACAATTTTTTTGTTCTAGGGTATCTGCTTTCAAAAATATATAATGTTTGCGGATTTTGTGGAATCTTCAGGCCTAAAAATGATTTTTTAAACATGTGTGCAAAAAAGGCTCTGGCAGAGAAAGGGTTAAAAGACATGATTGTAGTATAAAAACTGAGCATAAACATACTCTCTAAACACCATTACAAGTTGTAAAAATAAGAGCTCCTTGATGTATACAACTTTGAGTTTTGGTGTTCGAGGACCACTTATTATGGTAATTATATGAATTTATTTTGATGGTTTTATTTTCTTTGAGATATATGGTGATCTGGCTGTATGGCCTTATTTGCTTTGATATACGGGATGTATTCTTTAATGATCGATCCCTGGATAAATTCCTTGCGGGACTATCTTTGATATTTAGGATACTGCATAGATATTATATTGGACTAATAAGTTTGTTTCCTTTTTTTCTTTTCCCATTTTTTCCCTTTTTCTGTATCTTTATATAGGATTGGCATTTTTTCTGTCCATATATCACATATTTCTAAATTTGCTGAATGAATTGGTCCATCCCCCAAATGGGTGACTACAGTTCTCCATTGTTGCGACTGTGGGTATGTCGTGAATTTTGAATAAACAGGTATTGCCTTTCAGTATATATAGATATATTATCCTAAAATGTAATAATCTATTTTGTTCTTGTTCTTTCTATTTGTATATTATGGGTTTACTTATGATTCTAGAGATATATACCAGATCTCCCTGAGGAAGTTGGCTTTGACCTGAAAAATGTGTGTTAGTTATATACATCAAGGAGTTATATACATTGCATTCTCCTTGTATACCATATATGCAATCTTGGAGCTATTTACATCAAGCCTGATGCTCTTATTGTGACAATATGTTGTGTCACAGGGTTTGAAAAAGCCGCTCGCCAAATGCGAGGAGGAATTCCTCTGTGGCGAGCGGCTGCGAGCGGTGAGCACAGATGAAGCATGGAGCGACTGCACCTGCGCTCCTAGTCTCATTGTGAAGCTGAGTTCCGGTTTACAACTTCCGGTTTCCGGCTTCTGCAGCACCGCCGACGAGGGGACAGGTGTAGGAGAGATCCGCTCTCCTCCGCTCAGAGAAGACACCTCTCTGCTGCCATGGGGGACTCGGGGGGACAGTAAGTACTGTATACAACATGTCATATCACTGTAATGGAGTACAGGGGAGCTGGGATATGCATTACTCAGTAATGTATATCCCAGCTCCCCTGTACTCCATTATAGTGATATGACATGTATACAGTAATGTATATTCCAGCTCCCCTGTACTCCATTATAGTGATATGACATGTATACAGTAATGTATATCCCCCCTCCCCTGTACTCTATTATAGTGATATGACATGTATACAGTAATGTATATCCCCCTCCCCTGTACTCCATTATAGTGATATGACGTGTATACAGTAATGTATATCCCCCTCCCCTGTACTCCATTATAGTGATATGACATGTATACAGTAATGTATATCCCAGCTCCCCTGTACCCCATTATAGTGATATGACGTGTATACAGTAATGTATATCCCCCTCCCCTGTACTCCATTATAGTGATATGACGTGTATACAGTAATGTATATCCCCCCTCCCCTGTACTCCATTATAGTGATATGACATGTATACAGTAATGTATATCCCCCCTCCCCTGTACTCCATTATAGTGATGTGACATGTATACAGTAATGTATATCCCCCTCCCCTGTACTCCATTATAGTGATATGACGTGTATACAGTAATGTATATCCCCCCTCCCCTGTACTCCATTATAGTGATATGACATGTATACAGTAATGTATATCCCCCCTCCCCTGTACTCCATTATAGTGATATGACATGTATACAGTAATGATTACTGTATACATGTCATATCACTATAATGGAGTACAGGGGAGGTGGGATATACATTACTGTGTACAGTTTCATATTTTGGACTATTTATTCTAAAGAAAAATGTAATTTAAGAAGCTTTAAGCGGGGTGTGGTTGGGGGCGGACCGGGGGTGGGGTTAGGGGGAAGGACCTGGGCAAGGTTGGGTGGGGCAACTGGTGGAGAGTAAGTTTTGTGACCGGCTTGCAGGTCTAGACTCAAAATTGTAACCCCTGTGTTATGATATATGTTTATAGAGCGCATGTTTATGCTCAGTTTTTATACTACAATTATGTCTTAATATTGTACCATAATGATATTACTTTTATAATATTTGTATGATTCTTTGTTGGTGTGGTACATAAAAAGTTCCAGTAGTTTTTCTGGTAGGGTTTTTGCATCTTTCAGTGTTACCATACAGTACCTGTACATAGCAATACACTATGAGTATGCAGCATCCACTAAATAACATTAACCTGTTCACGCCAACAGTATGGAAATATGCGGCCTCTCGGTTGCTGGGCCTTGACGCTGAGCAGTCGCATTTTTGCGTACCAAAAGCAAACAAACATGTGCCAAGAGCGGGTGCTCTCGGCACATTTACTGACGCCTAATGGAAAGGTCCCGATCACTACTTGCTATTGGAACCTTTCCAACCATGTGACAGCCAATCACAGCGGTCACATGACCTTAAACCCCGCCCTGCCTTCCAGCTTCACAAACCCGTTAAAGGGCCAGGAGGCACCAGTGCTAAGGGGTTCATAAACCATAAAAAAGTGGTCACTGCATTAGTTTCCTATTGTGTATGTTTTGCCAATATGTCTGTGAAGGATCTCATTTATCCAGGCCATGTATAACTAGCAGTTGTTGGTCACATTTAGCTAGACTTGTTATGTAATGTTGAAGACGTCTCACTGCTTACCCAGGCCATTTCTTCAGTTCTAATGAGTGTCAGGAACATACCTCAACTCCGTCACCTAAATCCATTTACCCCAGAAAATGCCAAAGCAGATGTTGACACATTCCATGACCATTAGATTATAGCGACACTAAACTCTGGTTTAAAAAAAAATTCCATTCAAGTATGTATTCTAAACTCCAAAAAGTCCCCTCCGTCGCTCTCAGTCTCCTCCAACTCTCCAAATTCCTTTTCTTTACTGCTGTGATGTGGCTTCCTGTTAGAGGGTGGCTCCATCCATTCTCCATGGTCCCACTCTATGTACATATGTAGCCACCCTCTCTTGCTTGTGTCCAAGATGAACTGTGGACTATGGGACTTGAAGTGTGCATAGAGCAGCGCGAATGGCCACAACTAACGTGCACTGCTCATTCCAAACAAATGAAAGTGTGGAAAAAAGGAAAGATTTGGGAGCTCAAGGACACAGAAAAACATAATAAGGAACAATTTCCTAAATAATAGAGTACAGGGCTATGAAGTAGTGGATGTGTATGGAATATGTTTTTGTGAATAAAGATCTTGTTTAGTGTCACTTTAAGGCGACTCTTGTAGATATAAATACTGGGCTCTGTTCCTGAGAGTCATAAGAGATGAAGAAGCTATTTGAATGAATAGAGAAAGATTTTCATCAATACAGAACAAGTCTGAATGAATGTGACTGCTGCACGTTGTGCCATACAATTGCATGTTTTTATGTTGTGTATATGTCTAGTACCATGGCACTGTACAAATGTGTATAGCTAAATATATAGAAGCATAACAAATACAACAGTGAGAGCTCTTCAGTCTAGAAATGTAAGGGGCCGAAACAAGAGGCAAGGTAACCAGTCAGCTATTGACACAAGATGAAAGTGCGGTTGACTTACTAAAACTGGAGAGTGCATAATCTGGCGCAGCTCTTCATAGAAAACAATCAGTTTCCAGTTTTTTCTTTTTTTTTTTGTTGGAACACATCGTTCATGTATTTTGCAACAAATACTTCAGTGTTCAGTAGAGATATATTCTTCAACCAGTAGATGGCAGTGTTTATAAGTTTGTAGCTGCATCTATGGTTGTACTGTATGTCTTTTCTCTATTATAACCTTCCTGTTTCCTGTTTGCAGAGAAGCAGGAGATAAACACATGTGGACTCTGTCTGTCTATTCTGTAGGGCTATTTACAGAATCTCTAACATTTTTTTTGTCAAAGCCTGATTGAACAAGCTGAAATTAGAAGCTGATTGGCTACCATAAACAGCTGCACCAGATTTTGCACTCTCCAGTTTTAGTAAATCAACCCTAATGTGTTGTGCTGGATCAGTCACCGAAGGAGAATGTATAAGGCTAAATTATCTGAAGAGATCATTTTTAAGGATGTGTTTGTAGGGTTGGAAGTTCAAAATGGTAAAAGGAAGATAAATACAGTTAAAGGGAGAAAAGATTCGGAAGTTTTGCGTGTGCGAGTGTCTAACGGTTACTAGAATAGGGGAGAAGAAAAGATTATTTACAGACTGCATTTGGGTGAAATACCTGAGGGAGATGTTTGAAGGGTTCTAATTAGAATGGACTGATTTACAACCTAAGCTGTACTGAGTGACTGAATTCTGAAATGTAAAAGAAATCCTGATACCTAAACTGGTTGCTGTTTGAAACCCAGGTTCCTCTTTTTTTTTTATAGTTGTGTTTTATTAATCTATACCAAAAAATGAATCCAGGTGCAGTAGTGATATAAAAGAGCCATGCCTATAGAAATCTTTTTAATAAAGGTCAGCACACCACAGCTCACTATCATACACACAACTCTCTGAAGAGCAGACATCAGTACACAGGGCAGCCATGATGAGCTGCTTAATGACACACACTTATGCTCAGAACTGACCCACTGATGCTCTGCGGAGGGATAACGTTCAACCCACCATATTTTGCACTTACCCAGAACTCTGTAACTACAATATCTGTAATGCTGCCGAGAACCGTCACAAAATCAAAGACATTCCAAGCGTCGCGAAAATAATTCTAGAACAGACCACAATAAAGCAATTAACAATTAAGATTTTCACATTTCCTGTGTTTGTCTAAAGACTATCCTAGGAATTCAATAAAAGTTCACAATTCAAATTTTCTATACATTCACAGTTTAGTGGGCTAACTGTCCATCAGTATAATCCTTACTGAATTCAGAAACATATGCTGTAATAAAGAATATACCATGGGGTATATTTATAAATGTTTTTATAAAATATTCACTTAGGATTCACTGATATTCCAATTTCATTCAATTGGAAAACTGTGTAAATCCTGGGTGAAAGTTGTGTGTCATGTGAAGACATTTAACTAGGCCTTACAAGTGTAACCGGTGTGCCTGCAGGTTGCAGGTAACTAGAAATGTTTTTCATTAGCCCAGAGTAAACATAACACACATTTCATACAATTTGGAAACAAATTTGCTTTTGGCAATTGTAGTGAGCAATGGGAAAATCCATAGTGCACTAGGTTACAGAACGATTACAAATTTCTTTTAAATTTGACATAATTGTCTTGGGCAACTGATGATTTTGTGTACCAAAGTGTGGTGATCTCCCCTCCTTTGACCTGGTCTGCTATGGCAGTGTCATACTGCGATGGGAAAAGATCAGAGAGGATTCAGGCCTCACTGTTTCCAATTCACTGATCCAGTGCGGAAAGTTAATCACCACCATTTTTGTTTTTTTTTTTTTTTGTCAGTATTTAAGGTGCACCTGTGATATGGAAGGATTTACATATTCTTGTCAAGCAGTAAAATAGTTTTAACACAAGCCATACATAACCTATCTAGCTGCTTGTAATGTGAAATATTTCATTCTCAAATATCTCACATGTTACTGACGTTGGATTATCAGTTGCCTTGAAATACCTCTTCTGTGTTTACATTAAAAGATTTGCAGCCTGTCAAGATTCTACTTCCATAGTAATTACTATAAAAATACTTAAGAGTTCAGTGGCCTGTTGTGAATTTTAAATATGAATTTTTTATCTAATGGTTGTAAACTGTGTCTACTGTTTTTTTTATTTTTATAATATGTAAATACTTAATTGTGCATGGCCTGGAAACAGGTTCACTTTCAGATGAAGTTTGGTTAAAGGAGTTGCCATAAAGCAGTCTAAAGACAGAAGGTGACCAGGAAAACCTAAAAATAATTACCGAATGACTGCCTGTTACCTTGAAGACTCTAGTTTTGGATCCAACAGGCCAGTGATTGCCTGCTCTACCAACATAACCAGAAGGAGCAGAACTCAGAAGTAGAGGCACCCAATTTGCAGTCTGTTATTTATACTGTTAGGGGGGAAGTAGCGGGGAATCGCTGGACTCTCAGACCTGAATGCTCTGGGTGACATTTAAGCATTTGACAGCTATTTATTAGGTTTAGCTTGTAGTAGGCAGCATGGGGGTAAATGTACCTAAAGTTACTTTTGGCTTTGCTTCTACTTTAGTGTATGGGTTATTATTATGGAAAATACAATAGGAACAGAATGATACACACTTATTTCTTTCATGTACAGTACATAATGGCTGCACCTGGATGCAGAAAAGTAAGGTGTGGACAATAGAGCTGAGAAATATATATATGTAAATAAAACATTTTGTGCTAAATGTACTGCTATTTGAGGCGGGGATGTGCATATCATACTTGTCCTAGGGACGATTCTAGTGAACTTTTGAAGTGTGACATTTAAAGCCTATTTCAGCTCTAATTAGGCTGCACCACTTTCTCTCTTCTCACAGGAACACAGGTTAGGATGAACATATTGGGACATAAAGTAAAGCTGTACTAAGGGCAGTCTGTAGGCTGCCATTGCTGACCTCTCCACTTGAAAATTAACATGCCTTTAGTATTTGCATGGACAAGTTCTGACTTCAATCTATATATATACCATGTGTGTGTGTGTGTGTATATATATATACACATCTATATATCCAAATCCATATATACATCCAAATAGTTTTGCATATTTTTGTTGGTGGGAGCATCTGCATAGGCATCCTATACCTGAATTAACACCTAGCTGCTAACAAGTCTCTGACAGGAGAACCCCCCAACACCCCCCCCCCAAACTCATTGACAAGGCTTGTGACTATAAAACAGATACACAATTGTAACATCACTGATAGGGGAGAAAGCCATCACAATATCCTCCAGACATCAGAAGGAGGATAAAAGTCATTCCACATCTAGAAACTGCACTGTTTAGGGTCTTAGAGTCATTACTCCAAAGATCAGAGGGAGTATGTTGCTGATCTTCCATAAGATCCAAATATTTAATGCAGATACAAAATGGAATATCCTGGCCTTATAGAGCTATCTAGGGACCAACTAAACGATTATATTTACCCTGCACATGACAGTCAGTTTTTTTTGCACTTGCTGTGATCAGGATGATACTGATGAAATGATGAAATCCTAACTCCAAACCAGCTATCAGAACTGGTTGGTTCATATATCCTAAAGCCACTTCAGAGGCAAGAACGTTTACCACATCCAAAGGTAACTGGCTACGGGGGAAGAGTCCATCTCACATAGCTACCTCTATATACTGTAATAACTAGCATGGAAATGAGCAGTGTAATTCATCTGGGGCTTGTTCCGATTAAGACAGTTACTGGATTGCCCAAGTGCTCCCACCAACAAGGTAAGATGATTCTGCCAAAATTCTATAGATTTTTAGCCATTAGTCATCATTTTCCATGTCATTTTCTTTCTTTTTATGTAAATATTTCTTCTTTACCTATTTGTGCCCTGTTCTGCCTTCTTGAATATTAAATGTAAGACATTAAACTGGCCTTTTATGTACAAAGCAAAGAATCCTTAACTCCCACAGAGACTGTTGTCCCAGCATGCTTTCTGAGGACACCTGATGGGCTGCGAGACCTTGTGCATCTCTGGTCTCCTTCATTCTTGTACCCTGGTCTTGCGACAATATGGATAACAATTGGGAAACAATTACTCTGAGACTTTGTTATGAGCACCTGGTCTCCAGTGTTTGCCTACTGCTCCAGTTTTCTCATTTATAGCACCATTTCTCTCCAGCTCTTGGCAAAATCAAAATGCAAAGACAAGCATGGCTGGTATTACAGCAACTCTATGAGAAACTTGTTGGCTTTTGTTACTGACCTTTCCCTCATGATAGAAGAGGTGTGCAGATGCGATCTGACTTCCATCACCCTCATGCTACCTCTAGGTCAGTGTTTTCACAAGTAAAATACTGAAGACAGCAAGGCAACTTGCATTTTCACAAGAGGTCAGCTATTGTAGCCTTACACTTTTTTTCAGGTTTTACAATGTTTTAGATGTGTGATGTTAATCTCTCTCTCTCAACCAAGCCCTGTTTCCTTATCAGTAAGCTCAGACTCTTTTATGTATGTACATGGTTACACATGCTTGTAAAGTGCTGAGGCTCTGAAGTTTATTATAATTTACAATGATGTTTGGAGATGTTGTCATTTGTACTGTTAGTCCAACCTATATTTGCTGCATTGCCTTAAGCCGACCATAGGTGGTTTGAATCCCGGCCTGTTCAGCAGGGTCTGACTGAGATTCGAACCCCCTACGGGTAGAACGATGGAACCCAATTTGATTGTTGTATATCTTCGGTGCAACCAGCCTGTAGGATTTTTCATGCAATTATTGACAGCGGCTATAGCAGCTAGCAATAATCACTGTGTTCTCATGGCAGGGACGGGAGAACACAATAGTTTCATGGTGTTGATGGGGGAATTGAGTGATTTTCTATGCATCATCTGTGTCTGCTTGGTGTCATACAAACATACAATAGCATGGTGTCATACAAACCATGATACTTGTTCTACAGTATTTGTTATTGTTAAGGTCTAGTAGAATGTATATGTCCCCTACCCTATTTGTTCACAGATTAAGTTTTATTAATGCAGTACCAATGTGCCTTAAACAGAACAGTTCTTACTAGGATAAAAACAAGGTTTGAAACTCACACTTACAAAACACACCAACACTATTGTAATTGACAAAGAAAATAAACAATGGCAGTGCCTACCTGTTGTGCCCCCCTTCCCTACCGCAGTACACAGTCTGCTGCACACTGACAGGTGCACTAACTACACAAAATAAGAATGATTGATAGCAAAACTTACCAAAGCCCCAAAAGCCATGATTTTCAGTACACACTCCAAAGAGAAGAGGGAGGTGAAGACAATGTTGAATGTTTTTAGCACATGTTCATATGTATTAGAATACCCATGAAACTATAAGAAAGACAGGAAATAGTCAATATGTGTCCTAATTTGAAATAGGTTCAGTAACTACCTACTAATGTAAAATCTCTCAGAATGTCTCCATACCAGTGAGATGTTTTTTATTTATGTGATTTTGCTGTTCTACGTTAGGTGGTGTGGTTTTAGGCTGGAACAGGGGTTTCCAAATTGTATAAACAAAGGGCCAGTTTACTGTCCTTTAGACTTTGGGGGGCCGGAATGGAGCCAGTGGGAGTAGGCAATATCTCAGGCTTGGTGGACAGTGGGAGTAAAAAAACAATTACATACAGTAGCACCTGTGGTCAGTAGGAGGAGGAATAGTGCCCTATTGTTGGTATCACTAGGATGAGTAATACCCAATCATTTATATCAGTAGGAGGGGAATAGTGCACCATTGTTGGTGTCAGTGGAATCAATGGTGCCCCAAGGGCCGGATAAAAACAAACAAAGGGCTACATCTGACCTGCAGACTGCGGTTTTGAGACCACCGGGCTAGAAGAAGGCTAAAATGATTTTTTACTTTATCTTTTTATCTACTCATAGCATATACTGGGCAAATCTCAGATTAAGATTCAGATTAACTGCTGCTGTGCACAGTTTCCCATGTTTTTATCCTTTCCAGTCTTGGCTACATATATCTTGGCTACATATATAAGGGTGCACATGTGGCCTGCATGGCGATATAGAGAATAATGGGCATCCAAGGAGCAAGTGCTGAGTTTGGTCTATGTTCTCCATCGCTTCAGTAATGGCATTGCATGCTTTAGTGATGCAATTGAAAAGATGATAAACATTGTTGGATTGATTTGCTCTGAAGTTTCAGTTATTTATTTTTACCAGAGCCATTGTCATTTCCCTTTGAAAAGAGATTAAACCAGTGAAAGTGCATCTGAAATGTATGTACAGCTTGTCATTCATTTCAAATGGCTTCCCATCCATGGCAATTTTTTTAAATTAAAAATGGACATGGTGTGCGCTTTAATTCTGCGCATTTTTCATGAAACCAACTAAAACCTTCAAACAAAAAAAATCAGTAAACAGATGTGTTGTACTGTTAGATTCTAAAAATATTACAGTGTGTTTGAGGGGCTTCAAAAATATATTTCAAATGGGATTTAGAAACAACCATGTATACAGGTTGTAAAAAATATAGTTGGCAAGATTCTCACAGGGGATCAATAGTAACTAGAAAAGCTACAATTTCTGGGGAAATTGTGTGAAGTGTTCTTGCCTCCACCAGTAGTCTACAACTGGAGTGGGCGGCGGAGTAACTGGGTGGAGTGGCTTGAGTAACTGTTGTGTGGTTGGAGTGGCTGGAGTAACTGTGAAAAGGTCAATGGGCGGCGTGAGTTGCAAACAAATGGTCATATTGTGAAAACTATCAGGACTATGGCTTAGCTGTGGACATTTTTTAGTGGCAGCAGGGATAGCTGAACGTTTATACGATTTGTGTAGGTGAAAATTAGGGAGTGATGGCAGTTTAGAAATCATGTCCTGATTTTTCAGCTCACACTCTAGCTTTTTGTCAGCTCCCACTCTAGTTTTGAAAATTCCGCCATTCATTCCTATGGGACCAATTTCACCACAAAAACGGCGATATTTCGTGAACCATTCGACGAAATGTTCCACAAAGTAATAGCACACCAATCGGGAACAATCCGCACGTTTCGGTATATTACTGTCTATGTAGTGTAAAAACTGTAGGAGGAGTTAGGGTGGTAAATTTGGCTATAATAATAAGAATATATATGTGAGATAACAGGAAGATAACAAGGAAGCCATGCAAGAACACTTAAATAAAGTATGTATACAGGATTGCTGAAGACCCTGTGTTTAGTCCCACCATTCAGCTTTTTAACCTCCCTAAGCGGTCTGATTATGTCCATATTTCTGTGCTCAAAGCGGTACATTTTTTTGCATGGAAATATGTAGAGTCTATTAAACATTCCGGGTATGTTCAAATTTGAAACACGAAATCATAAAATTATAATTTAATAATTTAATAAATAATCAAAAAAATAATAATATAATAATAAGAAATTTAATTCAATAATATAATCAAACCAAAAACACTGAAATCTGAAATAGAGCGCCAAGTTCGCACATCACTGAGCAAAGTCGCAGAATCGTTTTCAGTGCCTGATGTCGAATTTCCGCCACGAATCATTATCACTCAATTCTGCAAGTGGTTCTGATTTACTATCGCTGTTCTCTAGCCGGTCTAAAACCACTTTTGACCTAAAGGGACGCTTTTTGGACGCCATGGACGTTTCTCAGTTTCCAGGCAGAAAGAACAGTAAAAATGCAGGCAGGGCGCAGGACAAAGCACTCGGGACAAAATGTATGTGAAATGGTTTGATACAGTAATGTTATACTATGTGATTTTAGTGTATTTAGTGGATGTCACTTTTTGACATTTTTTTAAATTTCCGCCGTTCCATCCCCGTATGTCACAATGTCACAGGGAACGGAACCCGGAAGACAGATGGCGGCATCGGCCGGAGGACATTGCCGGGGATGCTGCAGGGGGGACATTGTGTGGAGCGCAGGACAAGGTAGGTGAAGAAGAGATCCCGGAGCAACGCTGCAGGGTATTCCCGAGTGTAGCTAGAGGTTACCGCTTGTGGTGCTGAAACTTTACTTTATTTACTTTATTTACCGAGCTACACTCAGGAATACCTCCAGAGAGGTTAAGAACACATACAGAGCCTCTCTGAAGTTGCTGGTAAGCATGGAGCTCATAATTTTTTTTCCATGCTACAAGCTTCACCACCAGAAAAACTCAAATGCCTGTAAACGACTGTAAAGGAAGATGTGTACATGGACACATAGGAAAACATTAGGGAGAGTTCAGGGGCTGCTGAAAAAAAAGCTGAACAGATCCTAAACGTGAGTTTAACAGCTGCAGTGTATATGAGCCCTAAAAGTTAGCTTAGAAGAAGCTGGTGGCTTTAAGCAATCATGAGAGATTTTAAGTTGTGTGACATACAAAACAGAAAAACCAGCAAAAATCTCCTTTAAAGTTGAGGCTACTGCAATGCAGTTTTGGGGTACAGCTAGAACCAGTCCAACCTCTATAACTATGGTAGCCATGCCACCAAATTTAGTTAGCACAGCCTAATAAATGTTGAATTGCCTTTTCTTACCTTCATCATTAACACAATGGTATTTAGGGCAATCAGTGCCATAATTGTGTACTCAAAAGGTGGCGATACAACAAACTGCCACATTCGATACTGAAAACTTTGCTTGTTTTGCGGCATATGGCGAGTAAGGGGCTTGGCACTTATAGCAAAATCGATGCAGGCTCTCTGTAACACAGGAAAAAAAGAAACCGGGAAAAAGAAACAATTAATAGAACACAGAAAAAAAATATAAGAAAAGTTATCATATTGAAGAACTAGAATATGAACTATTTGCATTTGACCATTTATAACACCCCAATTAAATTTTAGAACTATCTTACCTGCCAATAACCACCTCACTACTGCCAAATTGTAAAAAAAAAGAGAGGTGGACATTCATTTCTGGAGTGCTACGTAAAAACAGACAACAGCACCACAGATTAATAATATGATGATATCCAGGGGGCATCATCCCAGAGCATATATCCAACAGCACCACAGATTATTAATATGATGATATCCAGGGGGCATCATCCCAGAGCATATATCCAACAGCACCACAGATTATTAATATAATGATATCCAGGGGGCATCATCCCAGAGCATATATCCAACAGAACCACAGATTATTAATATGATGATATCCAGGGGGCATCATCCCAGAGCATATATCCAACAGCACCACAGATTATTAATATGAGGATATCCAGGGGGCATCATCCCAGAGCATATATCCAACAGCACCAATGATTAATAATATGATGATATCCAGGGGGCATCATCCCAGAGCATATATCCAACAGCGCCACAGATTATTAATATGATGATATCCAGGGGGCATCATCCCAGAGCATATATCCAACAGCACCACAGATTATTAATATGATGATATCCAGGGGGCATCATCCCAGAGCATATATCCAACAGCACCACAGATTATTAATATGATAATATCCAGGGGGCATCATCCCAGAGCATATATCCAACAGAACCACAGATTATTAATATAATGATATCCAGGGGGCATCATCCCAGAGCATATATCCAACAGAACCACAGATTATTAATATGAGGATATCCAGGGGGCATCATCCCAGAGCATATATCCAACAGCACCACAGATTATTAATATGATGATATCCAGGGGGCATCATCCCAGAGAATATATCCAACAGCACCACAGATTATTAATATGATGATATCCAGGGGGCATCATCCCAGAGAATATATCCAACAGCACCACAGATTATTAATATGATGATATCCAGGGGGCATCATCCCAGAGCATATATCCAACAGCACCACAGATTATTAATATGATGATATCCAGGGGGCATCATCCCAGAGCATATATCCAACAGAACCACAGATTATTAATATGATGATATCCAGGGGGCATCATCCCAGAGAATATATCCAACAGCACCACAGATTATTAATATGATGATATCCAGGGGGCATCATCCCAGAGAATATATCCAACAGCACCACAGATTATTAATATGATGATATCCAGGGGGCATCATCCCACAGCATATATCTAACAGCTCCACAGATTATTAATATGGGACTTTACATATGCCACCTGGTATCTCATCTACACACAGATTCATAAACTCGTTTAAAACCATATTATATTTTATTAAAGATGAAATTGTTTATCTTATAAAATTTGTAAAGGCAAATACATTCACCATATATCAGAAAAAAACAACAAAGCAACAATGGTTCAAGTGGCTGTGACGATATGTGTTCTAACATAAGGCAGTAATAACTCTCTTTGTTCTATGTGTTTTGCAGACTAGGCCACTTCTTTACGAACTTGGATGCTAATCTATCAGGTTTGACCATTTATTAATCCAGAAAATTCCCTGAAACGGAAATAATGAACATTGCTGCCGTAAGCATAAGAACCGTATCAACAAGAAGCAAAAACATATCGTCAGTTTAGAGCATACATTTTTTCTGAAGCCGACCGTATGGGTAACCCTCAACCTCTGCGCTAGAACTAAGTAAGGGGAAAAAGGAAACTGTCTATTCAGTTCCTTTCCTGAATTAGATTATTTTTGATTATTGGATCTTTATTATTAGAATTTGTTTTTTTTAGGTGTAGTTTGATTATATTTTGTAATTTTTTTATTTATTTTGATTCACTTTGTTTTTCTCATATAAGAACACATGTTTTCATAACCACTTAAAGCATTGTTGCCTTGTTATTTTTATATGATATATTAGAAATGTCTTTTCTTTCACAAATTTTATGAGATAAACAATTTTGTCTTTAAGAAAATATAATATGGTTTTAATTGAGGTTATGAATCTGTGTGTATAAATCAGATATATTGTATGATAAGTAAAATCACATATTATTACTCTGTGGTGCTGTTCTATATATGCTCTGAGATGATGCCCCATGGATACCATCAATATACTATATGTTAGTTCTTCCATCGAAACATATTGAATGAAGATATACCGTAACTGCAGAAATAAGGCATGGACGGCCAGCATGACCATTAAATGTTTGTGATGAAGCTATCATTAGGTAACTTGCATCACAGACAAAACTTCAGACAGTGGCTCTGTGTCCTGCGATTGCTGTCATAGCCAATCACAGTGATCACAAATATTAACACAGCTTGTGTTTACATCCATGAGCTCCCGCCTCCTATCCTCCCAATCCTTTTCATTCTTCTGGCGCTTTTCCTGCCTGGTTCTTTGAATAAAATTGCTCCCACTGGCCACCAGCAAAAGTGAGGTCAGCAAGGTTGGTGGGTGAGGCAATGAATACCAATAAGCACAGCAAAGGGACACACGGGGGGACATATTGGTCTTAAAGGGGCACACTGACCATGAATGTCAATGAGCACTGAACATTGATCACCAACATTAAAGGGGGCACACAACACTTACTATCAACCTTTAAAGGGGCATATTGTAACTGTAATATCACCCTTTAGTTTGAAAAGCACTGTAAACTGTGGGTGCTATGTAAATCCTGCTTAATATTAAAGGGGTAAACCAGCTCCTTTATGTGTATTTCAGCTGTTTGTCTAAAGTTTTTTTTTTTAGTCGTAGCATGAAGTGTTAATCGTCAAATAAAAGTGATCAAGGGTTTGAGGATAATTTTATGTTATTTTAAATGGTTTATTTTCTTATTTTTTATGAGATCATTATCTTACAAATAAATAGTAATGCAGAGATTTTTTTTAAAGGGGAGAGCACAGCGGAAATTGTTTTCTTTCAGACTATCTCTCTGGCCCACACTGTACAGGCAGGAAGAAGGGGGAGAGGTGGAACCACTCCTCTGGTTCATTTGGATGGGTATGTAATCAGAGCCTGAACTATTGTGCTTCAAAAACAAAACACTTTTTTTAAATAAAGCAAAGCATCTAAGATAAGGATTATTTTTTGCTCTGCACATAATATATAAAGAACCATATGCAAAACCGCTATATTTTTACATTACCTCATTTTTCTCCAGGCTGTACTCCTCCATCATTTTGTCCCCCTGTTCCTGGAAAGTGATGATGATCAAAGCTACGAAAATGTTGACAAAGAAAAAAGGAAAAACTACAAAATAAACTACATAAAAGATGGACATCTCCATGCGGAATCCTGGCCTGGGTCCTTGATCTTCATAGGTGGCATCAACAGAGTGTCTGAGTACACTGCAAGAGGAGAAAGAAGAGCAGGCATGTGAGGTGCTACCTGTACACAGAGGTATGGGTTCATTTCTGTTCTAAGTATATAATAAGGTGAGACAAAGGCGAATCGCAGTCAAGGAAGAATTCAATTGTTTCATCATTTGAGTCGGCCTAAATATGTTATGGTTTCTGTGGGTAATTACACAGCTCTTTGCACAATCTTCTAAATAAAGCTGGCCAAACACCAATTAGTCCTTTACTGAATGTATATATCCATTCAGTCATATCCCATTCTTGGCCAGCTCTCTGGGCACCATGTCCAATACACTTGATAGTCTTTTCCGTAGATTTTTCTTGGCAAATTTTTTATATGTAGATTGCAAGGTCTTTTTTCATCCTTCCCCAAATTGCTTGCACTTGGGACTGGCATGAACAATGTGACAAGTAGAAGCCATTTAACCTATCAGCATGTCTTTGGAGTGTGGGAGGAAACTGGTGTACCCCCACAGAATCACAGGAAGAACATGTAAACTTCATGCAGGTAGTATCCTGGCCGAGATCTGAATCAAGGACCTCATTGCTACAAGGGATAAGTGCTAACCACAAAGTTACTGCTCTGCATGGATCTTGCTTAATTTATATCTGATCAGTCAGGCCCTCTTCCATACTTTTTGTATAATTTTGCTAACCTAACAGGTCAAATAAAAGAAAACTTGTAACTTCTGTGCACCCAGCTTAACCCCCCCCCCCCCCCCCCCCCCCAAGTCTCAAAAATTACTCTGGAGGGACATTGTAGAGGGAATTTCCTAAAGCGGTAATTTTTGCCTTAGTTCGATAGTAATTGTTACTTTCAGTATTTGGTGGCAATAAGACAAAAAAAGAGAGAAAAAAAATTCCATTGTACTGGGAAATTGTACATTAAACTAACATTAAAGCTGAACTCTGGGCAAATTTTTCTCCCATGCACTGGGCCTGTGCCCGCACTTCATGGGTTAATTGCTTGTTTTTGTCTAAGGGATTGGAGAGCTGAGATATACTTACCGGTACTTAATCCTCCGATCCTCCTAGCGCAAGATCGGTCCCTGCAGCTCCTGCCCACCCCTGGTCTAGCGGTCTTGTGTGGTGGACTGTTCCTGATGTCATCATGCCCATAGACCAACTCTGGATGTGAAGACGTCAGGTACAGTTCACTGCTGGAAGTGGGGGGGGAGCGCAGTTTTCTGGACGATCGAAGGATGGGGTGAGTGTAGGCTCTGTGTTCAAATGAGCATTTAACCCATGCAATGCGGGCACAGCCCCATTGGGAAAAGAATTGCTCAGAGTAGAGCTTTAAGAAATAATACATTCATTACGAAAAAAACATAAGCCACAACCACTGTATTACTTTGCTATGCAGTGGTGATATTTTGCCAGTGGCAGGAATGTTCCTGTTAGTCATCTCATATTACTATGTTGCCACACTAAGGGAATTTATTACGATAAGTACCAGAGGAATCAAGAACCTATTCAAAGCAATCAACAGCTGTGATATATTTTTTACTAAACTCCAGGCAATTATAACACAATTACCGAAATTTATGTGTTAATCAAAAATGTTATATCTATTTTTTTAATGTTGTTAATGTAAGTGTCTAATTTTGTCTTTAAATTAGCTTCCCATAGGAGGAGAGTACAGATCTTATTAGTACAGTGATGCTCTTTTGCTGCCACTTAGCAGGCAGGGGACAGGCTGATAAACAAGCATTACAACCAGGGGCAGACTGACCATTTGGAAACTCAGGCACTGTCCGAAGGCCCGGGGTCAGTAGGGGGCCCCATGAGATGCCCCTGGTACCTTTTTCATAGGCTTTTTTGAGTTTGGGCAAGGACACAGGGGCCCCATGATCCTCTATTGCCCGGGTGCCCCATGAGTTGTCAGTCCGTCCCTGATTACAACTTAACTACAATGGAGAAAACGGAGATCACCAACTTGGCTATACAGTATGGCAGGTCTGTCTGTGTTGAAGGATTGACTGTACTTGAAGTGTAAGTAATCCCAAAGTTTAAAAAAAAATAAGATATGGTTGCTTCCTTCCTTTGTGTTAAAACTATTTTTGAAGTGTGCTCCTGATCTGAACTACTGGCTGATATGCAGACACACAACACACCTGCATGCTCAGGTGATGGCATTTCAAAGCATGATGGACAGTGGAGTCCCATGCTGCCGCAAAAGGCCATGTACACCCAACCGGTGTGCAGGTTTCAAGACAGCCAATGGCGCAAAGGTTAATGATTTCAACCATGTATTTAGCTGTTTCCTTTGAATTCTTCTTTAATTGATTTGACATATATTTCTTGATTTGTGGCTCCTGCACCACAGTGTTGACTACAAGAAGGTGTTCTATCTATCGCCTTTAGATTTTTCACCAACTTTGTAGTGTCTACCTTATTATTATTATTATTATACAGTATTTATAAAGCGCCAATAGTTCGCTCAGCGCTGTACATTACAAAGGGGGACAGAACATGTGACAGAACAATACCAATACAATGCAAAACATGAGGGGATCGAGGGCCCTGCTCTTTCAAGCTTACAATCTATTACATCTTATTAGATGTCATTTGAATGGATTGTTTAAGTGTGCCCTTTTTTTGCTTTCTGTTTTGCAATTTTCTTTATACATCACTTTCTCTGCACCTGACACAGTTGTAGAAAAAAGAAGACAAGTGTTCTTACTCTGGCCATCCCTCTCCTGTAGACACAGTGAAAAGGGTGAGCAGCGCCCACAACACATTGTCATAGTGGAATGCCCATTTCTTCCACTCCCGCCTTTGCGCCTTCACTTCGTTCTTCTCATACACCAGGTACTCTCCCCTAGGGAGAAACATACAGAGACAATTATACAGGGGAGGTAGGATTACACAGCATTATACTGTTCAATAAAAGATAAAAGGCAGCTGTAGGGCTCATTTACACCACATCCTTATGTTCCATGTGCAGTTCCGCATGCATGCTTACCTGCGTTTGTTATGTTTTTGCGACATGTTTGTAGCGAGTTTTTTGTTGTATTTGTAATGCGTTTTAGTTTTTTTTTACTATGTTGCATTTATTTGCGTTTGCGGTGCGTTCATGAAGTTTTGCGTGTCTGAAAATGCAGGATGCTGTACTTTTTAAATGCACATGAAAACATTGCAATGCTGTTAAGTAGGCTCACTGAAATTCAGTAATTTTTCTTGCATATGTGTTAAAAACGTGTTCAGCTGCATTTGGTATAAACGAGCCTTTAGATCAGTCTTATTTGGAAACTGCTCATTATGATTATCGTGCAAGACCCAATCACCAGAGATCTTTAAAATAAAACTGGCAAGTAATAACTTTGGAACTGGAAGAATATGCCCAATTGTAGATTGGGCTTCAAAAGTTTGATGGTAAGGTAAGTGAGCCAGGAAGACTATGGAAAAAAAAGATAATGAAGGTATCTATTAGGAGATCTTACACATGCTTCCAGGGCTTAAAGGATAAGTTCACCTTTCGTAACATGTTACATGTTACACCCATATTCAGAGTGTAACATGTTATGATCAGACCCCGATTTGACAGCTGACAGGGGATCTTCTCCCCCCTCGCTAGCTGTGAAATTAAAAAAAAAAAAACGTGCCCGCATCACTCAATCACAGTCCTCTGTGTATGAGAGACTACAAGTCCCAACAGCCTTAGCGGCCATCGGCGCTGTGGAGTGCCATAGTAGTTCATTCATTCTTCCTGACAATATATCTGCTTGTTCATACATCCTGTACGGGCAAGCAGATATACTGACAGATCTGCAGTGCTTTACAGCACGGGTGTCAAGCTAGCGGCCCTCCAGCTGTTGACAAGCTACAAGTCCCATGAGCAAGGGTGGACTGACAACTCATGGGGCCCCCGGGCAATAGCAAATCATGGGGCCCCTGTGTCCTCACCAACACTCAAACCACACCCAAAAAAGCCTGTGAAAGGTATCAAAAGCATCTCATGGGGCCTCCTACTGACCCCGGGCCCTCGGGCAGTGCCCGAGTCCTCAAATAGTCAGTCCGCCCATGAGGCATTTTAAGATTTACAGTTACAAGCATGACTCCCAAAGGCAGAGGCATGATGGGACTTGTAGTTTTGCAACAGCTGGAGGGCCGCCAGTTTGACATCCCTGCTTTACAGGCTCCTGCAGACAAAAATAATAAATGCTCATTTTTTTACCTGCAAAAAAGTGTGCATTTATAATTTTTTGCTAAAAGGTGAACTTTTCCTTTAATACAAAACCCAAAACAAAGAGGATCAGAGTCAGGCTGAGTTACAAGGAATCCGCACACAGTCTCAAAGCCCAAATATAAAGTACAGCAAAATGGCTCCTCACCTGCAGTCTCTCTGAAATTCCTTTGATTCATCTGTGCAGTAGAAAAACTTGCCCTTGAAAAGCTGGACAGCAACCACAGCGAAGATGAACATGAAGAGCATGTAAACTATAAGGATGTTGAGAACGTTCTTCAGAGAGTTTACCACACAGTCAAACACAGCCTGAAAGATAAGAGACTGCCTTGTTACCGACACAGAAGGCTGCAACCATAATGAAGTGTAAAGTAGCTGTTGTTCTCTTCCCCAACATCTCACCCTACAATTCTTTCTACTATTGTCTTTCTTTCTAACCTCTTGTCTTCACACCTGTTATTTCCCTGTATCATTTCTTCTCTACCAACCAAATAGAGCATTTACCTGCACACAGATATGACTAACTTCAACCATAGCACATACGCTGGCTATAAATATGTAAACAATGACCATCACAGTACCCAACGCTTTCCCTACCCTTACCCCTATCATCACACTACTTCACCATTAAAAAGTTGATGAGAGTCAGGACGAGATAACATTCACTAACATCACTTTATCCATTTTCCTCTTGGTATCCACCATTTTACTTTCTATGATGGATGTACTGTTCTACATGATTTCGTCTTGCACAACTGTTTATAATTTGTCCCGTCTGCGAAACGGAAAGCAACATGTCATGTCTATGTTTTGACTGTGATCTATGGCTGTACATGCTCTAAATGCTTTTGTCTACTCTTAAAACAATAAAGTATTTTTGGAAGTAAAGTGGCTGTTGTACTGCATTTGGATGATTAATTATAAATCAGCTACAGAAGCCTGACACTTCACCATATTTTTCTGGTATGGGGGGGGGGGGGGTCTTGCCCATTTTCTCTGCTGTTTTTTCTAATAGTTTAATATTGATTAAAATGGATACCATCTATTGGTAGGTCGGTCACTGTGAGGTTGATTTACTAAAGGCAAATAGACTGTGCACTTTCCAGGCACAGTTGCACTCATTTTCCCGAAAGCTTAATAAATGTGGTAAAGCTCTGCTGGTTTCCACCATCCAATTATGTGCAAGGAAAAATGCTTTTCTTTTCTTTTCTTGCACCTGATTAAATATTCTTTACAAAGTGAAGTTTTACCACATTTACTAAGGAAAATGAGTGCAGCTGCACTTGCAAACTGCACAGTCTGTTTGCCTTTAGTAAATCCACACCCCTGTGTTCCCTCACCTTTCACCCTTTTCTTATCGTTCTTTGTATTCTTTTATCTAATGTTGTAGAATAGCCCCCAGGGTGTTCAAGAGGGAAGGTTTTCCCCCCCCCCCCCCACACTCGAGTCATAAGGCCTTATTGTATATACAGGAGTTAGACAAAAAATGGAAACACTACATGATTTGCAGGTGTAAAAGTGACGACATGTTTCGCGTTGAAAGCGGAAAAGATGTGACTTTCTTTTGCTTCTGCTGTGTGATGAGACACCTAGCTAACAGGTGGGAAGCCTCACTTTCGTTATTCACTGTGTGCACTACTAGTAATACGGTCATGTCAGAGCTTACTGAGCTTCAAAGAGAGAAAATTGTTGGTGCCGCTTAGCTGGTGCCTCTGAGACTGAAGTTGCCAATTTATTTGCCAGGTCGCGAGGTACAGTATCAAAGGTTATGACAACATGTACAGTTTCCAGGAAAGCTTCGTTTGGTAAGCATAAGTGCGGTTGACATGCTCAAATGACCAAAAGAGACAAAAGGACATTGTGACCCAGAATAAGAAAACAACTGCTGCAAATGTGACTGCAGAGCTCAATCTCAGTCCTGTGAAGACTTCCGCTTTCAATGTGAAACATGTTGTCACATTCACACCTGCAAATCATGTAGTTTTTCCATTTTGTTGTCCAACCACTGTATCTGCTAGTGTCTGCCAAGGCGCAGTGAGATCACCTGACTATGGATGTAGCTATTGTCGACCGCTAGAAAAGCAATATTCAAACCCTTGCAGTCCTCAACTCTTTGCTAGTTGTGATATCACAGTTAATTGGATGGCCAAATTGACTTACTCTTTTGCTGTATTTTATTTTATATGCGTAACTGGTCACGTACTTGAACGCACACAACGTGAGTGTATCCTTTTCCTTTTTCTCTTGTATGTACCTACTGATTGTGGGGGAACAAAGCACTGTATCTTCTGTGTTGTATTTTGGTAAGTTTTCTCTATATCCCCTCCCCCTTTTTTTTAAATTTCATTGAAAACTATTGGAAAGGAAAATGGATAACAACTGTGGCCCAGAGCCACATGTAGGTGATTGCCATATCCCTTACATGTTAGTGCATTTTATTTTAATTTTGTGCTTTATTAAAGGTTACTACACTGTTGGTGTGCTCTGTTTCTTTTTTAAGATGTTGGGTGGGATCTTCCAGGCTCAGCCTGTTTGAGGACTGTAAGATGTGTGGGGTTCTTTTAGATTGCATGCCATACTTCTACAGATTTCCTCAGTGCAGATGTCAATTTATACTCGGGAACAATATTTTCAGATTTTTTTATATCAGAATCTGCATACATAAAGCAGTTGCAGTGGCTATAAATTGCCGCTGCATACAAGAACAACTGTGGGAGTTGGTGTCTTTGTAGAGCAGCCAACCAATGGACTAAAACCAGTTAACGTGCAAGAAGAAGGTGTTATATATGAATGTATGTACCTGAATTGATTCCCAAAGCCAATTCACCAATGCACTTTTTAAGCTACTTCTGTGTGTGCGTGAATTTGCTCCCGGTGCTCTGCCTTCCTGCCACTATCCAATGTTATAGCAGGTTATTTGATTTCACCTAAAGTGGCCGCATGAGTGCATAAGTATGACTGTGTTGTAGAAACAGGTTTTGAGGATTCAATTGTCTCTCTAAAATTATGTGTAAAAAAGTGTCAGCATTATATAAGAGAGCAAAATCAACAAAATACTGTATCTCTCCAAAGCTGATCATACACCCACAGAGTATTGATAATCTTGCCTGTCTCTGGGTGGAAATGAACATTCAACTCCTCTGCAATATCCAGGTTCTGGTCTGGCCTATTTCAACCAGTATATCATACAAACGGGGGTGGATGCGATTACGTTTTGCACTGTTAACAATGAAGGCCCCTTGAATCCCGAGCCCCAATGAAAGGAAGCCTTGACTACTGGAAGCTTGGCTTTTACTTTGGCGTCAACCTAAAACAGGGAGGTTAGGTGTCTCTGTTAGGATTGAGGACTAAGACATGAGGTGACTGGGTGGAGCCTGAATTCTAGAAAAAGGCTATGCAGGGGCATGTCCCAGTATTCTGAGAAGATTCAGACGTTACAAGAGTTTACCATCCACCCACCTGTTGTGAGTTTCGTAACAGCTTTATTGGCATTTTTTTCCATGCCAGTGATTGCTAGAAAAAAGCTAGGTAGGGGCATGTCCCATTATTCTGAGGAAATTCAGACGTCACAAGAGTTTACCATCCACCCACCTGTTGTGAGTTTCGTAACAGCTTTATTGGCATTTTTTGTACGTGCCAATGATTGATATTGCTTTATGGGCTATGCCCTGAAGTTTAATTCTGGGGTCTGTGTTTTTTTTGTTATGGATGCTCACGGTATAACTGTAACTGGCATTTTGAATGTTGTTACATTTGGAATGTTCAATAAAGCCGTGGCCTTGCCCTATTTCTAACTTATTCACCCTTTGTGTCTTTTTGGGCAAGCAAGTTTTTGTTACATTAGTTGGTCAAAATGCCCATATGCTTCTCAACAGTCTTTAAAAAGCACTACAATGCTTGTAGACAACATTCCAAATTCACAGGTTTATTATGTAGATATAGCCAAACATAATCACTATATTTTATTTTCATTTTTATTTTTTATAAACATTAGGTGAATAATCTAGAAAGCCAAGGGTGATCATTCGACTTACAATATAACATATGTCAGAAAACTATATTTTTTTAGCTGTGACACATATCACCGACCTTCAGTTTGGGCAGCCGTTTAATGGTCTTCAGAGGTCTGAGGACCCGAAGCACTCGCAGAGATTTGATTGTGCTGATGTCCTTTCCTTTACTTCCACCTCTGTTGTGACACCGGGAGGAAAAGAGAGAAAGAGAGGAGAAGAGAGAGGAAGAGGCAGAAATAATCAAGGGATAGTCAGGTTGATAGACAATGAAGAAGAGTCAGGTTCTCAGAGAAAAGAGAGTTACGGGCATAGAATCACAAGGGGGATTAAGGCACAGAAAGCATAATAGAAGATAAAAAAGGTGACGTAGAAAAGAATCATGCACGTATAAAGTAATGATAGACAGATAATTTAGAAAATGAATAAAGATGAGATAAGAGGATAGAAAGCAGCAAGAATTTGAGACAAGAAAGAGTATGGAAGAGATAGACAAGAAGAGAGATGTGGATAGAAAAGGAGATGAGAAAAAGAGAGAAGAATATTGTTAGCAGAGCTGGGTATATTTAGTCCCTAGTGCTTACATGTAGAATTCTCTCAGGAGCATTTACCAGCTGTTCTGATACCACATCTGCCCCTCTGGACTTAAATCTACATTACTGAGCACAACAGGAATTCCTGGTTGTTTTGATCAAGTAAAACCTTACAAAGACACCTTATCCCCACTAGCAACAATCTCAGCAAATGTCTGATACTCCTGAGGAATATCTGAATGCTGCTGCCATTGCAATGTAGCTCATAGGCTTGACTGCCTCCTATGTGCCACATCTTACCTGCCAGTTAGAAGAACACAGTAATTAAGACCGACCACACACAAGTGGTGTATAAGCTAACAATAGAAAAATGGAAGCAATGTACAGTATATGGCAAAAATTTTTTTTGATGATTTTCAAGAGGTTCCTCAAGCAAGTGTAGAATCCTAACATTAAAACTCAAATTCACTTTTTCTTATTATCTAAGGTTGCATTCACACCTTTGCATTGCGTTGCGTTTTTTTTGGCACATTTGTCATGCAACAGCATAGGGCAGGACAATTAAAGGACAAGTGCATCCAAAAAAAGTCTCCTTTTGGGTGGGCAAAATGAGGGATTTAACCCTTTTACCCAGTCTTTACACCTATAAAACTCTGATAGGAAATTTCCCTTCACCCCAGCTCAGTCACAGTGCACATAACAAAACTTCAGTTCAATTTCAGGGAAAAAAACATTTCTATTTCTTTGCATGTCATAGCTGTCAATGGTAGGAGTTGGCACAGATGCAACAAATCTCCCAGTGACTCCCAGTAGTCTTAAACCATGACAGACAAAATAGCAAATTATTCCAGTCCTTTTTCTTAAAAAATTAGATAATTTGAATGATCATCCATCTTCAGAATCAAAATGTGTCTTACTGAGGCCACAAGAGTCTTGCAACCAATGTCACAAGGTCCTTTGGATCCAAGCTCTGGCACACCCTCTGTGTCACACTAACACTCAGGGAGAATATCAGTCATCAGAGTAACAGTACTCTGACTGTAGATACTCTGTAAAGCCAAAATCCTTCTGTCAGTGATCTGAATCCTTATTTTCCTGTAGATCTAGAGCACGGGTGTCAAACTGGCGGCCCTCTAGCTGTTGCCAAACTACAAGTCCCATGAGGCATTGCAAGATTGACAGTTACAAGCATGACTCCTAAAGGCAGAGGCATGATGGGACTTGTAGTTTCGCAACAGCTGGAGGGCCACCAGTTTGACTCCCCTGATCTAGAGGATGCAAGACACAAAATTAGTCTGTTCTGCATCCTTCTTTTGCATCCCATAATGAATATAGTATGCACATTTTCAGCATTGTTATTCCTCAGCAGAGACTTTTGATGCAGAAAACTAGTTACCATTGTAACATTTTGTTTGAAAAACTGCCATGAACACTAAAGTGCTCTGTTATACTTATCATTTTCCCTGTCTGAACCTTAAAAAATAACCCCCTAAAGCAGTGGTTCTCAACCTTCCTAATGCCGTGACCCTTTAATACAGTTCCTCATGTTGTGGTGACCCCCAACCATAAAATTATTTACCCAGTAATTATAACCCATGAGTGTCGTTTTACCTCCAATACTGCTGCTTTCAACACAGTAGCTGCTTTCTACACAGTAGCTGCTCTTTACACATCCGAAATATGTGTTTTCTGATGGTCTTAGGGGACCCCTGTGAAAGGGTCGTTCGACCCCCAAAGGGGTCGCGACCCACAGGTTGAGAACCACTGCTCTAAAGTAACCACCTCCTAACATTTAACCCATTATCATCTGTCTCTACTCTTAACTACCCTAATAACATAAGCCTTCTAGGTGAATATGTACCTTATCTAATGTAAACTACATTAAGGTCCTGGTTGATTACAAATGACTTGTTGACAGAAGCAACTATTTTTTTTAGCTGAACTCTTAGCCTGTCGCAGTTGTTTTTAGGGTGGTGTGAAAATCCCTTGCTGGGATCCAAGGTTTTGGTGGAGATCAAACCCAACATCTCCACTTTAAAAAGAAAGTAATCTGTTTTGCCTAAAATTGTCCGTTTACCACCTTTTTCAAGATTTTTCATTTTCAAACTTTACAGTTTACTATATAGCTAAATGAAATACAAGAGCACATGAGAAAGCCTGTGTTTTTTATAGTGTGCAAAGGTGGAGCTTGACTTTGACATAGATATTGGTATCTTTCCCAGCTGATTCTCCTTTAAGTGTGTGTTCCCCATTGCTGCTCTATCCATGGGCTCAATGGGGATGTCCAAGAGCAGATCTTCAAGCAAGTCTCTGAAGGACTGCCAGCCCATACCACACAAATTACCTCTTATGCAAACTTTGTGTTTGCTTGGCTGATCTTTTTTTGTTTTTACTGCAAATATCAAGAAAAAATAACCATGTGTAGGAGTAGGGACATTTTCTGTATCTTGTGGGCTGGTTGTCTGGCAGAAGCTTGCTTGATGACCAGCCCAACCTCAGGATTGTTTACAACAAACAGAGAAGCTCTAGGGGCATTTATTTTAAAGGACCTTATGAAAAACATCTGTACAATGTGTTTAGCTTGGCAGGGTTTGAAAATGCTGACCCAGCAATCCCAAAATGAAAGGGCAGGTGTCGGATTTTAATTGAATTGTAAATAGATCTGCATCCTTATGGTCAGTCTTAGGCATGCTTCTGTAAGATTATGTCTGTAAAGTGATGAAGAAGAAAGAGACAGACTGAAAAAGGACAAATGGACATTACCGCTGGTTGCTCCTGGAGGAGGCAGCCGGTGTAGGAATGAGAAGGAATTAATCACACAAACATTGACATGACACCACAAATAGCTTTATAGTGGATATGAAACACAAACCAAATCAAGTGAATGAACCATCTGTGGATCAGAAGTCAAACTGCTCATGCTCTTCTAGACCTCTACTTTATGATATTCAACTGACAAATTAAAAATTACATTATGGATAGTGCATTAACTAACAAGGGTTTTTGGATAAAATGTATTTCCTTTATGTTTCCTAAAGTACACAGTGCTTGTAAATGTGTGTCAGAAGAGTTATCTGGTTCCCTTAGCAGCTATAGTCTTCATTTCCTTCTTCCTTTGCAGGTTGGTAAATGGAAAGGAGACCAACTACAACAATAAACAAGTTTTTATTTTCATACATTCACATATGGAGTCAGCTGTCTCTATAAAGCTGGCCATACACATGGCAACTTTCTGCCAATTTCAACCACTTTCAATTGGCCTGTGTCGATGGCAAAATCTGACTTTTGATTCTGACATTAGTTTGAGATGCTGCTGATAAAATTCAGAATTTATAGACAGGTGCATTTGACCTGCTTCGCGCTGCTCTAAATGTTCTCAAATAAGACTACATTTTAGTGTGCCATAAACAGCATGCCGATATTATGTTAATGAGTTGTTAACATTAACGCCTTAGCGACATTTAAATCCATAGGCACATTTAAAGCCAATCATGGAACACTGGCAAGACGTGACATTCAAACTTTTTTTTTTTTTTTTTAATCAAGAATGGAAAGTTTGGAAAGGCAGTAACAATGGATCCATATACAAAAGATAAAAGTGTTCCAAATCCATAAAATGTTCCCTTTATTGAAAGGCAACAGTAAAAAACTGTGCCTGCCTTGGCTATGAATGTACAGTATTTCTGATATATTTTCTTTTTGAAGCAAACCATCTATTGTACTGAATGTTTATAAACCTATTTGTTTGCAAACTCCCAAAATTACTCTCAAGGTACAGTATATGAGCCAATGTAGATAAAGGAGGGAGGAGACATTTACTTAGCTAATTTATCAAAGTGCGTGAGAGAGTAACTGTCTCAGTTCTGCATTGCTCTTAGCATTCAGATTCTGAGCTGCATTCTGGTACTGTAGACACTAAAAACATAGGGAAAATATTTAACCTTTTTGCTGCATTGGGCTCGCTCAGTATGCTTTTAGCTTTCAGAAAATGTTTCCTTCGGGAGGTTTTAATGAAGTCTGTAATATGCATCTTAAGGAAGAGGAAAGGGTCCCAGAGATTCTCATTGCACCAAATTGGCCCAGAAGAAGATGGACACACAAAATCAGACTAGTGGTAGACGAGCCTTAGCCTCTTCTAAATAGACCAGCCTTACTGGCCAAGACTCCCTGTTCCATCTTGCTTCTCAGTCACTGGCTTTAACAGCATTGAAGGGCAAGTCCTTAAGGATAAAAGTATATTTGACATGGTCATTCCCACCTTACTCAGAGCAAGGAAATCCAACTCCTGCAAGATGTACCATCGCACATGGAAGACATAATTTGCCTGATTTGAGGATAGAAATCTTAACTCTAGGAAATACTCTCACTCGTATTTTGGCCTTTCTTCAGTCTAGTCTTGTGCATTGTCTGGGCATGAGTACCCTTCAAAAGACAGGTTTCGGCTTTATCCATCTTCTTCCAGAAACCTCTTTCCTTGCAGTCCCTTATCAAGACTTTGCTCATACCATTCCTCCAATGTGACCTTCCATATCACCTTTTGTTCTCAACCTGGTGCTCTATGCTCTTCAGAGACCTCCCTGAACTGATTAAAGACACTCCTTTGGAAGACCTCGCCTTTAAGGTTGCTTTCTTGATGTCTTCCCATCTGTTAGAAATATTTCTGAGTTAGCAGCTCTATCTTGTAAAGAGGCTTTTCTTGTTTTGCACAAGGACAAGGTGGTTTTGAGACCAAAACCTTCCTGCCTACGGTGGTCTCCTCCTTTCACCTAAATGAACACATTGATCTCCTCTCTTTCTGTCCTACTCCAAAACATGTCAAGGAAGTTGTCTTACATTGCCTAGATATGGTCAGGGCTGTGAAGGCCTACTTGAAAGCTTCAACCTCTATTCAGAAGACTAATGAAAATGAGAGAAGCAGCACTATCTAAGTGCAGCTATAAGAACAAATAATTTGTTTCCACAAAACTGGCAACTCACAATAGTAGTAGTCAAAGAGAGCTTGTCAAAGTGGTGTGAACCGCTGTGCAACTTCTGTCCGATCCGGCTGCAGGAAGGTCTCCAATGCACTGTCTTTGGCTGTGCTAGTGGCTCCCAGCACTTCCTGGTCAGAGTAGATCCAAAGGGTGGGCAAGAATGATGTCAGCTCCAGGTACAGCAGCAGTAGGTGTGGCATGCATTCAGAGCATGCATGCTCCTTCATCAGGCCTTTCAGAAGAGTCCTTCTTTGTCCTGCCCTATGGCGCTGGTAGAGGACACACTACCTCCCACAACACCATTGCCAGGTGGATTAGAGATCTCATTTCCAGGGCCTATGTCCTTAAGGAAAAAGTTACTCCCTTTCACATCATCTCTAACGCTACCAATGTCTATTGGGCATTTCAGCATCAAGCATCTGTATCCCAGATTTGCAAGGCCACTACCAGGTCCTCTGTTCTCCAGATTTTTACCAGGTGGATGTTTAGGCCTTCAAGATGTTATCTGAACATTAATTTAGGTGCTGTAAATCCTTGTTTTTCTTGTGGACCTGCTGGCAGTTCTTTGTTGCTTTGTTGTTGCCACTTCTTAGTTTTATTTCTAAGGTACATTCCATGGTATATGAATACTTATGTCCTATCCTGTACTGCATGATTGGCATAACAGGATTTTGACTTGCCTCTAAATTCTGTACCTTGGAGTACAGTACAGGACACAGGTCACCCCCACTGTGTCTGGATCACTCCTTATTACTTGCTAAAAAATGGAGGTAGAAGCATATAACCCATTGTCTATGAATACCAGTTCTGTGTCCTGTACTGTACTCCAAGATTAGGAATTGATGGTAAGTCAAAATTCCTATTATCTTATCTTATGTGTCAAAATCCCTCAGCAAACTGTTCCAGTTTTTATTTGCAGAGATAAAACACACATTTCTGATATCAGAGAACATATAGGGTTATATACAGTTGCAAGAAAAAGTATGTGAACCCCTTGGGATTACGTGGAGTTTTGCATGAATTGGGCATAAAATGTGCTCTGAACGTCATCTAAATCACAACAATAGAAGAACACAGTCTGCTGAACATAATACTACACAAACATTAGATGTTGCCATGGTTTAATTGCACATAACATGTAAACATTCACATTGCAGGGAGGAAAAAGTATGTGAACCTTTAGACTTAATAACTGGTTGACCCTCCTTTGGCAGCAATCACCTCAACCAAACATTTCCTGTAGTTGCAGATCAGACCTGCACAACGATCTGGAGTAATTTTGGACCACTCCTCTTCACAAAACTCTTTCAGTGTAGCAATATTCTTGGGATGTCTGGTGTGAATCGCTCTCTTAAGGTCATGCCACAGCATTTCAATCGGGTTGAGGTCAGGACTCTGACTGGGCCACTCCAGAAGGCATATTCTGTGCTGTTGCAGCCATTGTTTTGTTGAATTACTTGTATGCTTTGGGTCTTTGTTCTTTTGAATCACCCATCCTCTGCGGAGCTTCAGTTGGCGGACAGATGGTCGTACGTTTTCCTGCAAAATGTCTTGATAAACTCTGGAATTCATTTTCCCATCAATGACAACAATCTGTCTAGGCCCTGAGGCAGCAAAGCAGCCCCAAACCATGATGCTCCCTCCGCCATGTTTTACAGTGGGGATGAGGTTTTGATGTTGGTGTGCTGTGCCTTTTTTTCTCCACACATAGTGTTGTGTGTTCTTCCCAAACAACTCAATCTTGGTTTCATCTGTCCACAGTATATTTTGCCAGTAGTGCTGTGGAACATCCAGGTGCTCTTTTGCAAATTTCAAACGTGCTGCAATATTCTTTTTGGACAGCAATGGCTTCCTCCATGGTGTCCTCCCATGTACTCCATTCTTGTTTAATGTTTTCCTTATTGTAGGTGTGTCAACAAAAATGTTAGCATGTGCCAGAGATTTCTGTAGGTCTTTAGCTGACACTCTGGGATTCTTCTTTACCTCATGCAGCATTCTGCACTGTGCTCTTGCAGTCATTTTTACAGGACGACCACTCCTAGGGAGAGTAGCAACAGTGCTAAACTTTCTCCATTTGTAGACAGTCTGTCTTACCGTGGGCACATGAACATCAAGGCTTTTGGAGTTACTTTTGTAACCCTTTCCAGCTTCATGCAAGTCAACAATTCTGGATCGTAGGTCTTCTGAGAGCTCTTTTCTGCGAGGCATGGTTCACATCAGACAGTGCTTCTTGAAACCAGTAAACCCAAAACAGGTGTGTGTTTTTTAAGGGCAGGACAGCTGTCAGCAACACATCCAATATCATCACACTGATTGGAGTCAAGGTTGGCTCACTCCTGGCTCCAATTAGCTCTGGGAGAAGTCATTAAGCTAGGGCCTCACATACTTTTTCCTCCCTGCACTGTGAATGTTTACATGTTATGTGCAATTAAACCATGGCAACATCTAATGTTTGTGTAGTATTATGTTCAGCAGACTGTGTTCTTCTATTGTTGTGACTTAGATGACGTTCAGAGCACATTTTATGCCCAAATCATGCAAAACTCCACGTAATCCCAAGGGGTTCACATACTTTTTCTTGCAACTGTATAGTATCCTATATTTTGTATTTGTTGTAATATTGCTACATATTTTAGCAAAGCTATATTTTCAATATAACACAACCATTGTTTTTATAAATGTACATAAACACAATATAAAATACTCTACAATTTTTTTACCAAATTAGCTGAAACTATGTCAGCGTAATACAAACTATGAATTAATTTGGAAATAAAATTGTGTGCACATGTGACGCAACAAACATTATAAAGATATGTAAAACTGCAAATACTGTTAGTGATGAAATCAATTAATAAACTTTGCATGGAGGACAAATGTGCAGGCAAGATCTAACTTCCCCTGGGGCAAAGATTTTCCAGAGCTCAGCAAAACACTCCATAAATTTGTAAGCTTGGAAGAGTCAGGATAAGGTTTATGTGGATGGAAAGAGTAGGAATAGCAGGGAGGATGATGCTGTCATTGGGAACATAATCAGCACATATTTACTGCATATAAAGTGGAACAGTAGTTGGACAGGCACATTTAATCTTTCTTGCAATGAAGAAAGCTATGGTATGTATTTGTCCATGATTGCTTTTAGAAGGCATTCTTGCCATGCATACGCATTGCAGATTTCATGCTGGGCATCTTGGTGACGCCTCTGTGAGGAATTTAGCAAGCTAGGGTTAGTCACTTTACCATCAGCCAGTGAAGATCTGTCCTGAGCTGTACAGAATGTTGCATTGGTTGCTATGGTATGAAAGCATTTTTGCATGATGACATTGTGGGTACCATGGGATCTCATACACATACAACAGAGCTTAGATGCATGCATGAAATAAAGGTGGAAGAGAATGGGAGCAAGTATGACAGGCAGCTTTGTAAGAGTAAATGTGTTGTGGTTAGTGCATTGACTAACATCATTCTTTATAAATGATGTGGTTTTTGAAGGTTAATTGCGTGCTGCAGTTCTGTTTTAATAGAAAACTGATAAACAGGGATGTGTACATCAATAAGGTAAACATTGTTAGACGTTGAACAAGCCATACACATGCCATTAATTTATTTTTCATATGTTCAGTAAGACACTTATCACTAAATTACACCAAGATATGAATATACCTCTTGCTCAAAGTTATTCAGAAAACCTTTTCACAGTAATCAAAATTGTGTACTATGAGGTACAAGTTTATGAAGAGTTAAGGAACTTACGAGAAAGCAAACGCAACCAGAGCACCACTAACTACGATGAAATCAAGAATGTTCCACAGGTCTCGGAAGTAGGATCCCTGGTGGAGAATAAGACCCAGGTCCACCATCTAGGGAGGAAAAACTGATGTTGAAATGCAAGCAATCTCATCATTAGTATTTTCGATCATTCACGTATGCCATTTCCCTCATAATAAAAGAACCACTAAATTCACAATTTTTGACTTCACATTTGGATTCCTTTTATTTTTTCAATTTGTGGTGACACATGAGAGTTTGATATATTTGCATTGCACTATTGTATTGCACATACATTTTAATTTATCTTAGCCCTGCACTATTGTTTTGTAATGGTAGCTTTATGCCAATGTAAAAAAGTTGAAGCATATAGCCTAAACCTTTTTTTCTCTTACGTTCATTGACAGACACAGCCACTCTTCATTCTGGATCATAGGGATGTCCCAAAGCAGTGCTTTATTGAGGGGGTGGGGAAAACAAGATCAACTGCAGCAACCAGGCAACTTGTCAACCACCCAAGGCAACTCCAAAAGGGCAGCAAGGAGCTTTAAACAACACTGTGTGGCCACAAAAAGCATCTGAAGAGACTAACACCTCAATCTTGGAAAAATTATAGGAAAAAATATGCACAGACAACCAGGTAGCTGTCAGAAAATCCGAAGAACTGATGTCTGATAATGGAATGCCCAGGAGGCACCAAGTGCCCTGGTTTAGGGTGGAGAAACCCAAACTGTAATGGTGAGCGCCTGCACAACATCTGCTGAGTCCAACGGGAAATAGTGGCAGAGGAGGCCACTAGGCCTTTTCATGGGCTGTCCATGGACCCCAGGAAGAATCCTATCTCCAAGAATGGTCTAGAATGAAGAGCAGTTGTATCTGTCAAAGAACTCAGAGAAAGGGATTTTAAGGTAAGTAACAACAAATCCAAATTTTTTTACAGTTTTAGATGTAACAGGGAATGAGTATAAGCCCTGTCAATTTTCTGAAGTTGATGAGATTCACCCTATTTGTCCTTATGACCAGTGTATGACCAGTGTCGCTGAGAAAGCTGAAGCTATCTTCAGAATGGGAATTGAAAATAAATCCTTAAATAAATAATCTAACTTTCTAAGAAGGGAATCCCCTCCCTTTCTAGAGATTGTCTCTCACTTTCTAGAGATTTCCTCTCACTTCCAACTCATTGCATGGCTGAAACTGGGTTCTAACTGCTATATTACTGTGAGAAAAAAACCCTTGTTTTTTTGAAAGTTTGATAAACGTGGGGGCATTAAAGTGCCAGAAGGTAATACTGAAGTTTATTGAATTGTGTTAGAGGGCTTTATGCTTTCATCAGTGTCACTACATTCTCTTACCATGACTTCACTGTACAGTCTAGCAATCATGAATTCACAAAAGCCATGGTTTATATAGGTTGCAGTTATGTGAACTTCATTTTAGGTGCATTTATATCACCAAGCTAATACTTCTCTAATATCCTAGCTACAATCCATGTTACTCATCCTGCAAACACAGTGGTGGACCTCTTTATATCTTCTTCTTCTCTTCTTCTTTATCTTATTCTTACCTTAATAACCATTTCAAAGGTGAAGACTCCAGTGAACACATAGTCAAAATAACGCAGAACCTATAGACAGATAAAATGTCATTAACACATTGAAAAGGAAAACGGATGTTGTAATTTAAAATTTAATTAAAAATGTTAAAATGTGTTTTTACCAGTCTGTTGTTACCAGTCTGTTGTTACCAGTCTGGGATCCTTAAAAAAGCTTAAAACTGCCAAACCTTCCCAGTACACTCCTTACTTCAACTTGTTTTACACAGAGACTAGAACACTCCTGACAAGTTATTTACTGCTTACAAATGACTTGTAGATCAATATCCCCTTAATTGGGATTTTATAAAAAGTGGGCTGTTCCCACTGTGGATCTGGTGATCTCCTACCTTAACAAAACATTGACTGTACCTATTGAGAATGCTCCAGTGTTTAGTACCCATTTACCCTAGCAAAAGAAGTCTAAGCATCAATCTGGCAAATCTTTTCTTGCTTCTGAAGCCAAAAAGAGTTTTTTTGTTTCATTTTAGAGGCTTTGGACAAGTCCACTTCAGCATAAGATGCCACAACTTCTCAGAGTGGCGGGGCGCCTGTTGTCCTTTGCAGACACCTGGTCAGATGCCTGACATGTTGTTCAGGGTCTACAAGCTACAGTTCTGCTCTGCCTACACTTTTCTTCGTGTTGTCCAACCTACCCATGTCTCCGCAGTGCTTAACAGACCTCTATTGTGCACTTGCAGACCTTTGGAAGGGGTTATTGCAGTCGTTCTGTTTGAGGTTTCAGGGGTTTTACTCAAATCTTTCCACTGTTTCAAAACCAAAGAGAGTGATTTCAAAATTTCTGCATGAAATCCACCAAGTCTGTCAAAGCATCTCCCCCCAGGGAAACTTCCTAGCCTTGGTGGACATCAAGATTACATACTAAAATGTCCCCAACTTTCCAGCCCATCAACATTATCAACATTTTGCAGTGGTAACACAGCACTAGTAGTCTGTGGCCCCGCTGCTGGCCTTGCTACGTTCCCAGAGTATTCCCACTGTGGGATACCTTGACAACGTCCTGTTGAGAGAACAAGCAACTAAAACTTTGGCTATCAATGTGATATGGACAGTTCAGACCCTGAAAATTGGTTGGTTTCTGAACACTGGTGCTGGAACCAACACACAACTAGCAATATCTGGTTTTAGTTATAAACACTGCTCAAGCTAGAGTTCTTCTTCTTACACTATACAATCCAGGAGCCATCCTACTCTGTGATTCTGCCTTAGAGTTCTGGGCTTGGGTTCCACTCCAGTCTGCTACAACACAACAGCCTGTCTGCATGAGACAAGGGAGTGTAATCTCTAGTGATATCCATATGCCTGACAATGAAGAACAGGTTGTCTCTGGCCTGGTGGCAAAGAATCCAGTTCTGGAGTTGAAAAAATCTTATCTACCACTATTTTAGAGGATCATCACCATGGATGCCAGCCTGAAGGGCTGGGGAGGAGTCCTAGACAATTTATCAGTGCAGAGGACTTGGTCATCAGGAGAATCTTGTCTCCTTATCAACATTCTGGAGCTCCAAGCAATATGGTTGTCCCTGCAGCGCTGAACATTATGACTAGAAAATCATCTAATCATGATCCTGTTGGACAATGCATCAACAGTGGTGTACATCAATCAACAGGGAGGAACCAGAAGTGTTATTGTGTAGAAAGGTAGAAAGGATTCTAGCTTGGCTGGGCTCCACATTCCAACCTTGTCCACTATACACATTCCAGGAGTTAACAATTGGCAAGCAGACTACCTCAGCTGGTAGTGCCTGAACCCAGGGTAATGGTCCCTAAACCTGGAAATGTTTCAGGATCTGTGTCACAGGTGGTGGAAGCTGGATTTGGACCTGCTGGCATGTGGGCTTGCCTCCAGATGCAGGGGTCCTTTGTAGAAGCAAATGAATGTTTTAGTGACTCCACTGGATCAGTACAGTCAAATGTACATCTTTCCTTCCCTGAACGACCTTGCAGAATTGAGATGGGAAGCATTTCAGTAGTCCTCATAGCCCTGAACTGGTCCAGGCAAATATAGTACTCTGACCTTGTCAAGCTTCTGGCAGATACCTGGTGGTGTTTTCCAAATTGGACTATTGGGCTTTTAGAAATCAGGCAACTGTTTCCCAGATTTGCAAGACTGCTACATGGTTTTCTGGTCATAAAGTTTTGCCAGGTGGATGTTCACGCCTTTCCTGATGCCAGTTTTTGTGTGTAAGGTCCGTCACACAGCGCTTTGGACTGCACGCTAGCCCAAGTTTTATTCTGTTTGTTTGTGGGTGGTTAGTGTTTTATTTGCTGTGTTGCCACTCCTCAGTTGGACTGCGTTTGTATATCTTAATTGTCTCAGATTAACTAAATTATGTGTCTTTTAATGAACAATAAACATTTGAACTTAAAGTTCATTTAAGGACACAGGTCCTAACCCTCTGTGTTTGGGATCTACTCCTAATGCAGGCCATAGACAGGCCGTTTATCAGCCGATAAAGGAAAAATCGGTCGTTGTCGATGCTGCCACCAATGTCCACAAAAAACGCCAGTTTTTCGTGGATTTTCCAGCATGACTGATAAAAATAAATGAGAAGATCCGTGAAAAACGGCCGACGGGCTGGCCCCACTAACGGCGTGAACATTGGCCGATTTTTCGTGCGGACAAAAATTCGGCCGATAAATGACCCGTCTATAGCCTGCATAAGTATTGCTTTTCTACAAAACTGAAGCATAGTGTGTGTGTATGTGTGTGTGTGTGTGTGTGTGTGTGTGTGTAAAGGGGGGGGCAGTATACCTGGCTAGCCTGTAGCTTTTTCGTGTGCCATTGTCCAAATCCTCTTGTTAGGCATCAGTATAACCCAGTTGTCTCAGTTTTTAACTTAATCCTGCCTCCCATAATGAACTTCAAGAAACAAATTTTACATTACAAAAAAAAATCCAGTTTGTTAACTGTAGTAATAGGGTCATGTTATGCTTTTAAAGAGAATCAGATTATAAAATCATAAAGTAGTTAAAGTTATACTAAAGCTAAACATGTTTTTTTACCTTAATGCATTGCTTGTATTAAGGTAAAAAACATTTTATATTTTCTCTGTTCTCCCCCTTCCCTGTGCATCTCCTCTCCCCTGTCTTCCTCTTCAGACAGGACTTGAGCAGCAGCAGGAGCCATTTGCTCCTGCTGCTGTCAGTCAAATGCATAGACACACAACACACATACTAGGGTTTATTTACTAAAGCTGGAGAGTCCAAAATCAGACTCCCTTCTGCATAGAAACCAATCAGCTTCTAACCTCAGCTTGTTCAATGAAGCTTTGGCAATGAAACCTGGAAGCTGATTGGTTTCTATGCAGAAGGGAGTCTGATTTTGGACTCTCCAGCTTTAGTAAATAAACCCCACTGTGTCTCCATAGCAAAAGGCTTTCTTTTGGGACACACTAAAAAGAGGAGGAGCCAAGATCATCAGGGGGGACCCTGAGAAGAGGAGGATCTGGGTCATTCTATGCAGCACCATTTCACAGAGCACGTGAGTATAACATGTTTGATATTTTAATGTTTAAAAAATTAGCCTTTAGTAACACTTTAAAGTGGAGTTCCACCTAAAAAAAAATAAATAAAAGTCAGCAGCTACAAAAACTGTAGCTGCTGACTTTTAAAATACAGACACTTACCTGCCCCTCGATCCAGCGGTGTCTTTACTACCGCTGGTTTCACTGGCCGTCTTTTCTCCCTTGCGCCGGCATCTTTAGTGTGGGCACCCGGCTGTGACAACTTGTCGCTTCACAGCTGGGTGCCCACTGCACATGTGCGAGAAGCGCTGCGCTATGTGAATGGCCCTGTGGTCTTCTGGGACCTGTCACGGGGAGGGAGGGGGGGAGGACAACTTCCACTTCCGATTGCCTAGGCGATCACAGTGGAAGTGGGAGGGGGTACCTGTCAAATTCGGGTACCCACTCCCCAAAGGTGCCAATCGTTAATGGGGAGTGTGGGACAAAGGCTTAAAGCAAAACTTCCCCTTTTGGGTGGAGCTCTGCTTTAACAGTGATTTTCCATAAAGAAGAGGTCCATCACCATAGGACACCAGCAAGGACTTATGGAGTGGGGTAAGGTTATAGGGTGGATGCCCAAGGGGTGTGTCTTCATAAGGTCGCCAGTGTCCAATCACCTGAAGGTAGCAGCCTATAAATCAGGGTCTATGAATACTCAGCCTGTGTCCTGTACTGTACAATTAAGATAAATGCTGTTTTTTCACTGTAGCAATGGGGCCACGTTAAGCCTTTAGATCAGGGGCAGACTGACAACTCATGGGGCCCCTGGGCAATAGGGGATCATGGGGCCCCTGTGTCCTTGCCCGAACTCAAAAAAGCCTATGAAAAAGGTACCAGGGGCATCTCATGGGGCCCCCTGCTGACCCCAGGCCCTCGGGCAGTGCCCGAATTTCCAAATGGTCAGTCCACCCCTGCTTTAGATTGTAAGCTCCACAAGCAGGGCCCTCACATTCCTGCTGTACTGAAATGTATTGTAATTGTACTGTCTCCCTTATATTGTAAAGCTCTGAGCAAACTGTTGGCGCTATATAAATCCTGTATAATAACAATAATAATAATAATTAGAGATGCAGGCTTATTAAACAGCACGTCAGGTTCCTTTGTCAGGCATTATTCAGGTATTTCATGGAACATTTTCATATTTAATTGGAAATAGTATTAATCTGTTACATTGCAGTAATGTGTAACTTAGGTATACAGGTCCTTTAGGTTTGTGCAAGCATGCATAAATATAGAAATATATATAGTTATATATAACCACTATTAAGTGCTATTTATAGCCACCACTCTCAGCTCCTTTTATCCCACTGGGGCCAATGTTCCCATTATTTCAGTCAGCCTGCACTCTCCTCCCTCCATCTCTTCCTTTCTCCCTTCCCCACTGGACCATCCAATGCGCACAGAGAGAGAGAACTGCTAAGTAAGCAGGGCTGCAGGAGGGCGGATATGATTAACGGGCTGTCAGGCCAGTGTGCCTCACACTGGGTGCCCAGCACAGCTTCATCCTCCTGTACTGATTAACTCTTCTTGTGCAAAACAGTGTATGCATACTTGAGATTTGTCTGTAAACCTACAGGTGCAATGTGCTTTAGATTGTAAGCTCTGCGAACAGGGCCCTCACATTCCTTCTGTACTGAAATGTATTGTAATTGTACTTCCTCTCTTATATTGTAAAGCGCAGCGCAAACTGTTGGCGCTATATAAATCCTGTATAATAATAATAATAATAATAATTTTAGGCTCATATTTGCAAGGCTCTCCTATACAAAATCGGGGCTGTGTGCCTTTGTATTTACATTGAGTATAAAAAGGGAAAAAACTGATGGAAAAAAAGAGTGGTTTTGGGGAACTAAGCATGGGACAAAGGTAGACAGACAATAGTACCAAAGAAGTTACTGAATCAGTAAATACACTTGCAAGAGGTGAATTAAATAACAAAGGAAGCCACTAGAGAGCATGTATTTTTTCAATAGGCGCTCATGGACCAATGTACAGGGCAACAGGGTAAGAGGGGGGTGGCTTAGTGGGAAAGGCAATCTTTAAAAATGAGTGACATGTTCCTTTAACCCACTAGAGCAGTGGTTCTCAACCTGTGGGTCGCGACCCCTTTGGGGGTCGAACGACCCTTTCACAGGGGTCCCCTAAGACCATCAGAAAACATATTTCCGATGTGTAAAGAGCAGCTACTGTGTAGAAAGCAGCTGCTGTGTTGAAAGCGGCAGTATTGGAGGTAAAACGACACTCATGAATTATAATTACTGGGTAAATAATTTTATGGTTGGGGGTCACCACAACACGAGGAACTGTATTAAAGGGTCACGGCATTAGGAAGGTTGAGAACCACTGCACTAGAGAAACATTGCATCAGTACATAAGTTTGTGACTCACATTGTTTCTGGTGGCCTCAGGAAACACAGGGTCCTCTGCTGCAAGGGCTATACTGCTCATGGCGATGACCAGCAAGATACACATTTCAAAGTACCGAAGAGTTACAATGTAATGACACAGCCGACGTAAACTGCAATAAAGGGAAGATACATGTAAGATTTGAACAGAAGATTCCACATGACAGAAAGGAGTGTCTTTTCTACAGCCCCATTCAGAGAAGTGATGAGCATCTTGCAGTTGCAACTCATCACCGGGCACTGACACTGTTCCACCAAGGAATGTCAGGATGTACCATTCACCATCATAAGGTAAGGGCACGCCACTGAGATCAAAGGGACAAAAGATTACCTTAAATTGTGAAAACAAACATATGAAGACGCAGAAGACAATAACATTTGGCATAAAAAACAGGTTGACAGTCAGATTCTGAGGCACAAACTGATAGCACAGCATATCTCTACATATTATTTGTGTATAAATAAAGATCACCTGCGATTGTTTGTCTCAAGCAATCTCATCTAATCCTATCTTGTCTTCAAGAAGCATCAGCTAAAAGTGTTTGGAGTTAGACATACATGTAACATCATCTAATCTTTTGTACTGTTGTATTCCATTGTCTGAGACATTGATTAATCTTGTGATTAGTTACAATGAGAATTTTACCCATAACAACCTGATAAAACAATGTCTATCAAGGAACATTCATTTCACATTAGTAATTATACTACCAAAATGATTGTGTGCTGTAAATTGCCTCCAGCATTGTTCCTGTTTCTTCTTGCTGGAGGCTGCCATTTTGTTGAAGTCCAGAGCCCCTGAGCAGCAGGACATAAATCTTTAGGCTGTCAGTAGATCGTCTCTACAAATTCAGCACAGTGCTGAAAAATAGACAGCAACTGAGCATGTGCAGAGCAGGGTGAGACAGTGTACTACTGGACTTTAAACAGTATGGACATTTATTGTTAATGTTTTTCATCGCTATACCTGCAAAAGGGGCCAGCCTGAAGTGATCTAACTGAACTTCATTTTCTGACTAAAGTTTACCACTACTACAATATTTTTTGGCTGATAGCCTTCTGTTCCACTGTGTTAGCACTGACAGAGGTTCTAAGGAGTGTCTTACACGTGCACATATACACTCGTGCATCCAAATGTTCGCGTCTTTTCCCGCCCATGCCCGCCCCGCACCAACCTCACCATCACTCTTTTGGGGCCCTGCTATCCCCTCCCCGCCACCAATGCCTGACCTTCTCTTGGATGAGCAGGGCCTTTGTGGCGTCACCAAGAACCAGTGTAGCAACATCGGATCCTGGAAGGCATCATGCATCACTCCTGGCAGAGCAAGGCAGCCGCTCTCAAGTGCCATCTGAGCTAGAAGCCCTAAGAAGGCCACTGTGCCGTCATGTGCAAGCAGTGAAACACAACCTCTTCTAGGTCACAGTGCCATAATCTGCAAGCAGTGCAACACAACCTCTACAAGGTGGGTGAGTCCTGCCTGCCACTGATCCGCCTCCACCCCTGGCTTCCACTGTCATCCACCCCAGGGACCGCTGGCCAAACATCACTTGCTACTGCACCCTCAGGACCGGGTGAGCGAGAAACTGAGCTCCCCAGAAGATCTCCACTTGTATCGACCACCAGCAAGGAGAACCACAGCAAATACTGTGTGCAGTGCAAAACCCCCATGTGCTACTAGTGTTTGGAGGAGGGCCGGCACCACAGCCAGGAGGTCAAGGCTCTGGGTTCCATGTTGAAGCCACACAAGGTGGGGGAGGGAGCACTGGGAGAGGGGGAAGTGGAGGAAACAAAGGGGAGGCATGGGTAAGCTCCACAAGGTGGAGGGATGCACAAGGGCAAGGAGGAGGGTACAAGGTGGGGAGGGGGTTTAAGTTACACAAGATACGAGGGTACACAAGTTTGAGGGGGTAGCTGCACAAGGTGAGGGGGGACACTGGAGGATGGAGAAGCTGCACATGGTGGTGGGGTGCACATGGTGATGGGAGAAGAGGAGTGCACAAGATGAGGATGGAAGAGGGGGATGCACAAGATATGGGGGAGAAGGGAAGTTGCACGCGGTGAATGGAGTGCACAAGGTGAGGGGGGGAGGGCAGGGGAAGCTGCACAAGGTGAGGGGGGGGGGGAGAAAGACAAAGTGAGGGGAGTGTCACAAATGCACAAGATGAGGTGGAGGATGGGGAAGCTGTACAAGTTAAGTGGGGGGGAGTATGGGGGAGTTGCACAAGGAGGTGAGTGTGTCACTAGTTCTCAGGGTCATTGTGGTAAACGCACAAGGTAGGTGAGTCCTGCCTGCCACTGATCCGCCTCCACCCCTGGTTCAGGAAAACCTCCGTTCGCCCTCCTCCCTCCCCTGCAGCTTCCCCTTGGCCTTTGCTCCTTCCTGTAACGCTGTGGCTCCAAAGTGCTGCAATGGTGGCTCCTCCAGCTCCTGCACCCCACTGGATCCTCTAGACCTGGAGAGCGGGAATACAGCTGGCCCAAGTGAACAGACACTGAAAGCTGAGTAGATCAAGAGGATGGTGAGGCCAGTTGCTGAGCTACTGCCTCTCCTGGGACTTCTACTACTTACCCTTTAAATCACTGTGCTCCGGGGGTTCCCCGCCAGTCCAGCCAATGTCAGCTAGGTGAGACCCATCAATAGGCTGTATGATCACACGGCCCCGTGTGTGCTCCCTTGGCCACCCCACCCCGCACCCCTGCCACTCAGCACATAAACTGTGCCCTCAATCCCTTTCTCTGTCTCAAAAGTGATACATCAGGGGTCTGTTTAAAACCCTGATTTTTCAGTAAAGACCCCCAACAGGGCTGTGAAAAAACTGTAAAAAATAATAAAATGGATGGGATGGGGGGGTGTACACCAAGCTAAGTCTTTGCTCAGGATGAAAGAATGTCTAGATTTGCCACTGTGCAGAAAGGCATATACAAAGATGATGAAAGGTTGAAAGGAGAGCCATGGTAAAAACTAATTTGTAAACTTACGGATTTGTAGTTGATAAAATAAACATGGAGCTGTAAGGTGGCATTGGCTTTGGACCCTTCCCACCATCATCGTCATCCTCTTCTTCTTCTTTCTTCTCATCCTCTTTCTGAGGTAGTGGGGATACTGCCACTGTTTTATTAACTAAAATAAAAAGTAAAGGAATACAGACAGACAGTGAAGTAGACACTTAGTACTGAAACAAGGAAAGGAACATAAAAAGGTTACTTATTTCTGACATGTATATACTGTCATTCTGATCCCAAAAAAATTGGCAATTACAACACTAGAAAATGGATGATGACTTTAATTGATGCTCATACGTTTATTGGCTAATACCTTGAAAGCTTGAAAGATTTCTGGTACAGTTAGACAATAGCACCTTGGATATATAAAATATATAGTACAAAAGACTCAGGTGTAGACAAATATGACAGCCTTATCCTATAAAATGTTGGTAATGGTAAACTCCAGGAAACAGCTAAGTACACAGTTAAAACAAACGTTTGTGAATTGTCTTATATGCCAGATTGTAATTCTGCCACCCACTTTTGTGATTTATATCCGCCTATCAGACACTTCACTGAGTCAGGACCTTTGTAGATGGGTGATTGCATCTTGCATCCAGGTGCATTTTGCTTGGATTTGGGACCAGTTTGAGACATTGCTGAAATTGTTCACTTTTACATAACAGTTACATTTGACCAGGGCCATCTTAATAGGATCATGGGCCCCTGGGCAAAGTAACATACTGGGGCCCCTACTACTTGTGGCATGCGTAGGGCACCATGGCAAAAAGTGGGAGTGAATAAATGATGCTAAATATTCAGCGTGGCTTTATAGTCTCATTAGAAACAACAAAGAAAAAACACAACAAGGAAATTATCCCAAATTAAATTTACCCTCTGTACACACTGTTCCACCCTCTGTACACACTGCCCTGCTCCTGTATACACTGACCCTCTTTTTTCCTGTGCACACTGCTCCCACTCCTTTTTTACACTATCCCCCTCCCTGTACACACTGTCCTCCTGTCATAAATGCTTCTCCTAGTCTGTAGCGGCCTGTATGTATGTACGTTACTATTAGGCATTGTTCACATGCGCATACTTAAGCATACACTCATGCAAGGTCCATGTTTGCCAGCACGGGCATGAGGATGCACAGGAGGTCCGTCCATCCTCATGCAGGCAGTCCCATTCATGTCAGCTAGGATGCAGCAGCTTCACGGACACAACCGCTGCTCCCAATATGGCATCAGTGTGGGCACGGGTCCCCAAATCCACACACTCTGTGTTTGGGGACCCACACACACATGGATGTCAAATTAGAAGCAGTGATTCATGTTTGTCCAGCTGCTGCGTCTCAATTGACATGAATGGGACTGTCTGCACGGGGTTGCACAGAACGCCTGTGCATCCCATCGCTGTGCAGGCAAACACAGCCTTTGCACGGTTGTGCCTGTGTAAAAAAGACCTAATAGTAATGTACGGACATACATGCATATATACACACACGCATATGAGTATGCACACACATACATACACAGACACGCATACATATGTACATACATACACTCATACATAAACTCACATGCATACACACACTTACTACATACATATATAAACTCATACACACTTATGTACATACACGCTCAAATACATACTGTGACAGTATGAGGCACTGTCACTATAGAGTTGGCCAGGAAAAAGACACAGAGTTTGCATGTCTCCTGACAAATTTTGAGAGGAGAAAACTGCTTTTGCAGCTTTCTCTGGATCTTGGTATTGCCGGATGGGGCTCTGTAGTTTGGAGATTCCTAAGAGTCTTGGGCGGGGTGGAATCTCCAACCCAATATCTGAGTGTTGTGGACAACCAGCAGGGTGTGTGCCCAGGTGCACACAGCCTTTATAATGGTGGGCTGGTGAGAGCAATAGAAGGTGGAAGTTGGAGCTGTTTGAGGACAGAGCCCTGTCAGGAGAGCTGGGAATTCCTGGAGGAGACTACATCCTATGGGAGAGGGATTCTGAGCCCAAGGACTGGGAATGTCCAGACAACTCTAAGTCTGGGGGACCAAGAGAGGGTCTGGTAGAATGAAGAAACTGCAGAGGCCAGTGAGTCTGGGGAGGGTGGCTGAGAGAGAATCCAGAAAGCTCTAATGGGTGCAAGCTGGAGATATTATAAAACCCTGTCAAGAGGCCACGTGGGCCTGAACAGCAAGGTACTGTCACAGAGGCTGAAAGAGAGCCTGAATAGCAAGTGGTCTGGGAGACCAAAACAAGCAGAGGTACTGCTGACCAGAATGCCAGGTGGCTCAAAAGGTTACAGGGCAGGGGAGGGGCCTGAACATGGCGCTTTGAACCACGTAATGCTCCGGGGTGCCCACTAGCTATGTGTGTCTGACTGCCTTGTACCCGACTGCTCGGAAATGACCTGAGGGAGGCTCCAGCTGGCAAGGAGTGTCCATCGGTGGCCGGGTGGTGCTGGCGGTGGCTGGTGATTCCTGGTGGCGGGATCCTGGAGCAGATGGCTTGCAGTCTGCAGCAACTGTGAGGCATGCAGGAGTCCTGGGTCCTCAGCGGGCCAAGAGTGGGACTGGATTTTTTTTTTTTTTTTTTTTTAAGTCCGCAAACGTGCAACTATAACGTAAAAACCCGTAAGTGTTCACAAAAAATGTGCAAGTGCAAAACACCACACGAAAAAGTGCACTTAGGGGTGTGCTGTGTCCTACCCCTAAAGGGGCTTGGACCACTTACCCTGATCCCCCGGGGCACGAAGCTCCTGATGGGGACAAGGTTCCCAATTGGTCCTCCTGGCCAAAAGGCCTGGTGGACTACCGTTCCTTGTGTCCAGCCAAAGCCAGACACCCAGTACTTGGTCAGGGGGCTCTCCCGAAGAAAAGCCCCCTAGGGATCAGGGGAGGAAGGAACCAAAAGGCCACACATCCTCCCCCCTAGACTTCAGGGTAGGCCCGAGGACCCACACCCTCCATCCGTGAAAACACACGCATAAGTAACAGAAAAAGTGACAAACGTGGGAGGTGAAATAAATTAAATAAATAGAAAATAAAAAAGTGGTACCGGGAGTGGGACTGGATTGCCCAGGCAATAGAGGATGCCGAGCCCACAGTGAAATCTTAAAGGTCGGGAGAGGAGGGAGGCTTGGCGGACGAAGTAGAATTAGGGCTATGGAGAGATCCCCCTTGTGCTGAGACATGATCCTCAAGAGACCTAGAGACCCCCAGATCATCAATAACGCACTAAGTCCCCCCCACAGGTGTGTCTGGAAGCCCAGGCGGGAGACGAGCAGGGAACAGGGGCTGATCGGTACTGAATGGTGCGGAAGGTGATGGTGAGTTGCCGTGGCAACGGCAGGACACTTAAACTTCTGTTGTATTTGATGCATATGTGACAAACTAAAGTCAAACATACCAGAGTATTGGGGGTGACAGAGGACTATACTGCGGGGGGGTTTCTCTTAGGTTGGTGGAACTGTTTACCTTATTTTGGCCCCCAAAGTAATAGACCAGGAGTGGCAATAGTCACTAGAGTAAAAGAAAAAGGGCCTTTTCCTGGGGATGATTTTTACAGTATAACAGAAAACCCAGTGCGGGTACGCTCAGGTGATTACTTTTGGGACAGTTACAGAAAAACCTGAGATAACAGAAAAGTAACAGGACAGTGGAATCAGGAATGATGGGCAAATCAGCTAAAAGTGGGGGCTCAAAACCCCCCCAATCGATTGCGAAAGCTAATACAATTAAAAAATACATGCCCTATCAGGAGAAAGGTTCAGTGAATCAAACTAAGGAAAAACAAGAAGTTAGAAAATCTGAGGGAGATCTATCTAGATTGTCATCTGTGTCCCGGGAAGGGAACCAGACTATCGAATCGATAAGTTTGGACAGTGTCAAAAACCGATATGGCGGAAATGTTTGCAAAACTGGAGATATTCTTGAAAAATGAGATGGGGGTACTACGCAATGACTAGGGTCGAATTCTAAAGCGAGTGGAAGAAGTAGAGGAGAGAATGGAAGCACACGCTCATTTAATTAATAAATTAGAAATGCAGGTGGAGGAAATGCGGTGAGAACAGAGAAAGCTTTCATTTAAATTGGAAGACCATGAGAACCGTGATAGAAGAAAGAATCTAAGGATTTGTGGTCTACCAGAAGAAGAACAGGAAGAGGATCTAAGGGAGAAAATAAAGACAGTGTGTAACCCAATAATTGGAAGATCAGCGGCAGAAAATCTGAAAATTGAGATAGTACATAGGATTAGATGACCAAAAGGAGATTCTGCGGAAAGCCCCAGAGATGTGATAGTTCGATTTCATTATTATGAAGACAGAGAAAGAATATGGAAAAGTTTGCATGACTCTACTGAAATAAAATATGAGGTAACAAAGTTGCATATTGTTGCCAACATTGCCCCAGAGACACTGGCTAGAAGAAGATCTCTGAAACCATTGCTGGAGCATATGAGAGAGAAAAAAGTTTGATATAACTGGGGTTTTCCAGCATGCCTGATCGGATGGAAAGCTGGGAAATCGGCAAGGCTCAGGTTCCCAGAAGATCTCAGTGACTTTTGTGAGAAATTAGATTTACAGAAAATGGACCTTGAAGGGTGGACAGAGGGGCCTAAGGAGAGTAAAGGGCAGGGGTTTGTGAGAATGGCAGTGGGTAACCAAGAAGAAGAAGTAGAAAGGTATGGTGTGTGTGTGTGTGGGGGGGGGGGGTGTGGGGGGAGGTTTGGAGAGAGAGGGGTTTTTTTTTTTCCTTCTCTTCCCCCCATCCCCCCAGTCCTCCACTGGCCGCACCATGGCTCCTTTGCCCTTGATCTCTTCCTCCCTTGTTCAGATGATGGGCGGGATGGATTGAGGGAGCGAGGGGCTGGCGGTTGGCCTGGAGGTCAAATATGCTGTCAGACTCCAATCTGATTGATGATTCGAGACAGGGATTGGAATAGGCGTGCGTGTTTTGAGTCTCCTCCCAAATTAGGAATCGATAGTGGGAATAAGCCACAACAGATTCCTGGGCAATATGTAGGCCATGAGGGTCTTAGGGGTAAGATAGGTAGGGGGAAGGAAGGGTGAAGGGAGGGTGGGGGTGTGGTGTTAGGGTAGGGAGAAGGGGGAAGGGAGGG